CTAATTTAAACTGCCAAATGGAGGTCCTGTCCATAGCCTGGAGTTTTGAGGGGCAGTAAAGTCACTGGTAGGCAAACAGGGCCGCGCACACTCGCGCATACTTGTCCATTCTCAGACACATGTGGCACGGGTTTGGCTCTCGTTCAAACACCCGCACACACTCTCTCTCACCCTTTGATATAATCACTCATGATAAATGGGCCGAAACAGACAAAAAAATTTATGTCACAATGGGAATAGTTTACCACGGAGAAACAAATTTGTTAGATGACGTTGGACGTCCTTGGATGAAGGTCGTTGCCGGGGACGTCGTCAGGGTCTGAGACGTGTTCCGTGGAAGGGGGACCTCCCTCACCCCGGTGTTTACACTGCATGCATCGCCCCGGCGGGAAGGGAGAGAGAAACTAACCCACATGTTAGGACCGGGCGGGGACCAACCCGGCCACACATACAGGCGCTGTCGAGCCACCAGACACCACGCAAGCTTGTCATTCCACACTCGCACGCTCTGGGCTGTGGTAACGCCTCTACATCAGTAGCACCTCACTTCTCATCTTTACTCCAGCAACTCAAGACACAGTTCTACCACCATGAGGAGATTTGTGTCTTTCTTGGTGCTCCTGTGTGTGATTGTCTCGTGCCTTGCCGACCCAATAGCACTACTGAGGGAACGGAGGCAAAGCAGGCCGGAGAAACCGACCAGGAAGCCAGACGAAAAAGCGAAGAAGGGGATAACCTTCAGTCCTGTCAACAACATCATCGTGGACAGGTAAACATGATGTTTACTTGTAAACAGTTTGTGACGCTTAAGCTTCACTCTGGAAGTGGGAAAAGCCAGACTAGTGTGGGAATAGTTGTTCTATGTTGTAAATATAACTTTAAAATGTTTTACTGTCATTGTAACTTAAGGACAGTGTTGTCCCATGCTGTGCAAGCATTCAAGGCCATGTACAATTGATGTACGTACCACAAGAGCTTGCCACAGAATAGCTAACTTGTGTGGAAGATGGCTAAAATGGAAGGGATGCTACAGAACTGAGTTATGCTAAAATTATAGACTTTGTGCCGGTACATATTTGCCATTTACCAGTTGACTTGGCCCATGTGAACCACATTACGGATACATCAACAGCCAGGGATTTACGATAGCTCTGGCACAGAGAGTTCAGGTCTCAGGTCCAATGTCAATGCCAGACATTCTTACCATATACAACAATAGAAACTTGATCATGCTAAGATATGCATGGACTGGATAGATAATGGCAAAGCTTTAGACTGTAGCTACTGAGATACATGAATCGTATCTGTGTCAATGAAGACTCTTTTTTATGGCTACTGTAAGTAATAATATTGTGTTTTGGTTGAGTTGAGCTGAACAGCATTGACACTTTGGCCACTTGAAATTAAGTTATATTATTATAGTTTAGAATGTTACTTACTGTATTAATATGTTATACTAAATTGCATATCTCAAAGCTTTAAGTTCAAAATGAAAGCCCTACCTAAAGAACCTACATGTACATGTATATAAAAAGATTTCAAATGATTTCCTACAAAACATCTACAGGTTAAAGTTTAGCAAACATGAGAGACCGAAATTAAGTCTGACACACAGGTGACAAAATTCAGAAAATTGCTTTCTAAATTTATCAACATGTATTAGCTATCCTGACATGACACTGTGGTCAATACCTATATGTCATAATAACATTTCAAGAAAAACAGTTTACTAAAGAAGAAATCCCGTTCAATATTAGAGAAAATATACTGCTAAAGAAAGCACTTAGTACACATGTCATTTGTGGACTGAATTAAAATTGGACCGTAGCACAATCGCACGCAGCGTTATATCGCTACGGACACACAGTTCATACAGTTGGATTCCTTGGCAGTCGTGCAAAACTAACAGCAGGCATGATACTGTAAAGAGTGCTGTCTCACAGTGAGGTGCCGGTTCAACAGTAACTGATTAGGCTGGGGCGGAGGTAGCAGGAGTAGGGGGAGGGGGGCGCGCGTGTGCCAAGTCAGGCAGACATGTTGGCTGGACTCCAGTAGTTGTGTCTGGCTGGCCCTGCCAAAACAATATATACAACACTTCCACGCACCTCTCACAGAGGGATGTTAAAACTTTTAAAGTTCTTTCCACTTTGTTTTTATGAACAGTGAAACAAAACAACCACTTACTACTTCAGTAACGGTGTTCTAGAAATCTGTCAACTGAAAAAAGTTTTAACAATTATAGACATATCTTGACTGACTGTCCATCATAAGCAGTTCAACCAATGATAGCATAGCAATAAGCAATGGCTGCAATTAATTGGCTGCAAGTCCATCAAATATTTGCTTTTCAGCATTAATGTTTTGACAGAGATGGGCAGGGCTATGGGATGAATCGAATATTGAATGTTAGTTATTGTTACAATGCTAATATGCAAAATATATATATAATTATATTTTCTTCAGGGAAATTCCATGTGAAAAGAACAATGGTCAACTCAAATTTTAAACTTAAAGTCACCTTTTAATATCTTAATCCAAAACCAAAATGCATGGCAATTTCTGAATACTGTTACCGGTATGAATGTTTCTGTATTAAGTATTATAACTATTCTTTTCTTCAGGGAAAGTCTATGTGGAAAGACCAATGGCGAACTGGAATCTCTGGTGACAAAGCTGACAGAGAAAGTTGACGGCCTGACACAGCGCATGCAGAACCTGGAGCGGTCCATGGTGTTCCAGTCCGAGTCCAACGTTCCCCAGTTCAACCCTGACGGGGAGCGGTTCTTCCCTGCGACCAGACAAGCCGTGCCGTTTTTCCCAGGTGGTAATGTGATAGAGGACAGGGACGGGGTACGCCGCCAGGTCAACTTTACCGCTCTTCCTCGCCATAACATCAACAAGGGCATTACTGGCACAAGTGCAGGTGAAATGGACTTTGAAGTTGCCAGTTAAATACTCATGAATTGACTAAAATATTATCTCTCAGAAGGTTTGGGAGAGGCTAGATTGTTTTCCTAGCTGCACTTTTCTGCAAGGTACATGTAGTTTCATACAGAAAAGGGCAGCTAGGAAAACAATTTAGCCTTCTCGACATCTGTTTCGAGATGCAAATGCACAATATTGCACCCATTCTTTGTATTCATACACTAGAATATAGACTTTAACATCTGCCATATTTCTAGCATAACATTCATGAATACTCATGTTAACATATGAAATCCTACAAAATAAATTGAAACCTACTCAGGGAGGACTTTAACTTGTTTGCTTTGTTCTCCATAGATGATAGATTTTTAGAAGGACCCTCAAAGAGAGGACTTTTGAAAGGTAAGACTTTTCAAATAAAATTCAACATATTCTGTGTCCATATACTAGGCATACTAGTGAGTAATTAACATCTTTCTAACAAGGCTTTCCCTGTACCTGTCCCTGTTCAGTTTGATCCACTTGACTGTAGGAATGTCAGTAACCAATAGGACAAACTGAAAGCTGAACAAGAAGCCATAGGCGACAATTCTCCGTGAAGTATTATATATTGCAACAAAAAGAAGTAGCCATTGGCGACAATTCTCTGTGAAGTGTGATAAATCGAACAAAGAAAAATTGTTTAAACGCGCGTCGGCTCAGTCATCTTAAGACGCAACAACCAATCAGAGATGCGAGATGCCTACACGTGACGCGGGAAGGGCGCGCGATGCCCGAAATATTTTTGCGTCAATATTCAGCGCCGTGATTCAAGAGATTAATACCCGGAAACAATTTTTTTCTTGTTTTGAACGCATTAACATGCATTTACGCTAATCTAGTATGATTCAGGGTTACTTTTTTTTCAACCTGCCATGGCCAGATTATCTAAAGATGTGTGTATTGTGTGTACAATCTATAGAAAGAGAAATGTACATCAGGTCCGATCATCCGATTTTCACGTTTCGGTTTTTTGGACTCGGTTCATGAACGTATTTTGGTTTGGCTCCTGGAATGTGCAAAAAAATGACTCCCGGGACTGTCTACAGGGAACACTCGCACATTCGCGGTGTATCATGGCAGCGCGACTGGTCGTCATTAGCGCAGTAACAGTTGCATAAACGGACGAAACCATTTCAAAGAAATGGGGATGTTTGGAAAATAAGCATTTACTCCAATATCAAAACAGCTACGGTAAAAATAAAAAGACGTGCATCATCCCGGACATAATGCAACACCACATGCGAAATTACACAGAAATGCGACGTACGGAAGAATGCGTTTTGGCTGCGAACATCTTCCAAAAAACTTGGCATCTCTTAACCATGGGCAAAAACATCTGGAACCACTTATAAAAACCACCCCGTATCTGCATGAACTTTTTTGAACCCCACTGCTATTCCAAACAACGCGTTTTTCTGGACCATTCCAATTCGCCTCGTAATTGTAGGGGTGCGTCTGCGATATTACATTGACCGCGAAAGCAGCAACGGCAAAAATACACATTCGTGCATCAACACGGGCATGCCCGCAGACGGCGTATAAAATTGCGTGCCGATTACACAAAGAGAACCCAGTGTTTTGACTGCGAACATGAAAAATCAGCCGATTACAACACTCCGTCCGGAGGTCCTGACCTCCTTCACGGAGTAACAATCTTTGTAACAATGCTTTTTTTGGTTCATCTTCATACACTTGAGTGTAGGCAAGGCAGTAACCAATAGGGCAAATCAAAAGCTGAACAAGATAGCACTGTTCTTCACCGCAAACAGGGCCGCCTGTGTTTGAAGCAAACTTGTGTTTAGAAAGTCAGACTTTGGGTCAATGAAATGCCCAGTGGGTGTTTGTTATCCTTCAACATGAGGTAAACCGCAGTAATTCTGACCCTTTACTTTTATCCTTGATCTCTTTGATCTTGCAACATGCAAAGGGACACAATCAAAAAGGCTATGTGTGTTGGGAGGGGGGTACTGCTGAAATGTTGCTGCATTATTTGACATGCCATTATACATAGGGGCTAAACTGTCTAAATGTGTGCCAAAAACACACTACGGATTTGGTGCCCCAATGTGCTAACATCTGACAATTTCCCACTAAGATCCATAAAATGTATTTTTTTATCATTACATAATAGTGGGAGACAATTTTTGTCCCTTTTTTGTCAGCTTTTAGTGTCTATTCACTTTGCACTTTTTTTGGACCTTTCTGGTCAGGGTCCCATACTTGGGCCCAAGGGCTTGCGGTTGGTTATTTGCAAAGAAATGTGATCTTAAACATTTTCAACACTTGGATGTTTTCTTAGATGTGGGAGACACACTCTGTTGCTACTGTTTGGTCTCCAGGATGTAGGGTAACTAAGCTGCCAGTCAACCCTATCCACCCAAGGGTAGCATAGATTATACACGTAGCTCGAATTGGTACAAATGATATGGGTCAAGCAAAATCAAAATAACTTATAAAGTCAAGGTCATTATAAAGAAACAGTGTAGGGTTAAAGTAACAAGCACAAGCATGGCCTAGCCTTAGTGTTTGTCTATTCAACTGTAAATTGTGTAATAACTATACACGATTTAAGTCACAGTCCATCGACATTGGTTATTTGCAAAGAAATGTGATCTTAAACATTTTCAACACTAAGATATTTTCTTAGATGTGGGAAAGACAAACTTTGTTGCTACTGTTTGGTTGCTACATGTAGGGTAACTAGGCTACCATGTTAATCTTAGCCACCCGTGGGCGGCATCTTGGTACACACCAATTCTGTACAATGGTAGAAAAAGAATGCTAAGGGTTAAGCATGACAAATACACCAGCCTGACTTCTGTATTTTAAGTTGATAAAGTTGAGGTCACACTCAATATGCAGTGTAGGGATAACCTACATGTAATGAATGCTACTAGCATACATCTATATACATAGAGCATAGTCTAACCTTGACCCATTCAATGGTAAATCGTGGGGTTTAAATCCTTGTCCTGTCAACGCTTTTGTACTACTGGAAAAGATCAGACAGAAGGTCACATGGCCTGTTTCTAAACAAATGATGTCGGAACCACAAAATGTCAGGAGTTTCAGCTCAGAGATTTGCAAAGAGACAGCCGGCATCTTGGGTCCTTTTACCAAGCCTGACCTAAGACTACTGTGTGCTAAGTGTACGTTTCTTATAATCAAAAACATATTCATACGTCTTGACTATAAAAGGTTCCAGACTGAGATTTCAACTTTTGACACTGACGATTCTCTATGAAACTGCTGCAACCAGCTAGAAAAGAAATACACGCATATTAAGTAAAGAAGCTAGTGAATTCTAAGCACTGTCCAAAGTCTTTACAATCAAAGCCCACAGTCAAAGAGTCACAAAATCCTTGAACAGAATCCAATTAAATGAGATTTAAACTTAGCTGAACTTAAAGCTTGGTGGCCTCATTTCTATTTGCATCTGAACTTTAAGCCTGGAACAATCAGTTTTATGCGTTAATTCTTGGCAAGTATATCTGAGGTACAGCACCTGACTGTAAAACACGACTTTAAGTAACATGTTTGTCATTTTATGGTCCACAGCTCTGAACCCAAAGGAGTGCGGCAAGACTTTGATTCTTGGCATGTATATGTGAGGGAGAAGACCTAACTGTAAAACACAACACAGTTGAACACTAAGTAATACGTTTGTCGCTTTATGGTCTCCAGCTTTGAAAACCAAAGGATTGCGGCAAGATGTTAATCCTTGTCGAGGGACAAAACCTAACTGTAAAATATAACACTAAGTAAAATGTTTGTTGCTTTATGGTCTACATCAGATTATCTGAAACCAAAGGATTGTGGCGAGCTTTTGATTCTTGGCATGTATATCTGTGGGACAAAACCTAACTGTGAAACACAAGTACACTATGTTTTATGGTCTCCAGTTCTAAAACCAAAGGACTGTGGCAAGATTTTCATTCCTGGCATGAATATCTGGGTACAACTTCTACAAGAGCTAACCATAAAACACCACACAGAGTAAAATGTTTGTTGCTTTTATGGTCTTCAGCCCTGAAACCAAAGGAGTGTGGCAAGATTTTAATTCTTGTACATCCGGGGGACAAGACCTAACTGTAAAACACAACACTAAGGCCTAGGGAAAAAAATTGTGTTTCCTGTTTCATTCTTGAAAAAAATTGGGGTCTGTAGGTATAGGGATTATCTTTTTTCTTCTTCTTTGTTTTAGGCTTTGGTCATCTCTAGTGATCCAACTTATACAAGACAGTTTAACAAAATGAAACTTTTACTTACATTTTCAATCACATCAATGGTGGAAAACTAATTTCATCTCTCAGGTGTCAGATGAAGGAGATAGAAAAGGTCAATCAGCTGGAAAAATTTATGTCCCTTGCAGGGATCCACAAAAAAAGGTTAGGGTTGGCAATTTTTTCTAGGGTCGGTCGGGAAACAGGAAATACCACATTTATTTTCCTAGGTCTAAGTATTTTTCGTTTTATGGTCTCCAGCCCTGAAGCCGAAGGACTGTGGGGAGATTCTGGCGTGCAGCCCAGGGAACCCTGGGACACCCAGCGGGATCTACCGCATCACCCCTGACGACCAGGACGACGGGTTTGACGTCTACTGTGACATGGAGACAGACGGCGGCGGCTGGACGGTGTGTCTCCGGTCTTACTCGATAAATCACGCCCTTGTAAAACAGTCAGGGTTGAACAAGTTTTCACAAATCCACTTGCCAACTTTTCACTTGCCCAATGTAAAATATTGCTCCTGCCAGATTAAGAGAGAACTGCAAGTCTAAAAGTACTTCACAACTGTGCAAAATAACCGCGTATGTTAAGTTAACAGTGCCTCATATTTTAAAATAGCCTGTGGGTGCATTTTATTTTGTAATCGATACCACTCAGGCTAGTTTTAAAACCATCTGCTGATATAAATCTACTCCTAGCAGATTATGAGAGAACTGCAAGTTGAAAAATTGCTTCATAGCTGTATCTGCAGAGTACTAGTACACTGTACAACTTCCTCATGACTTGTTCTCTTTTTTTCATCATCAGGTTTTCCAGAGGAGAAAGGATGGTTCCGAGGACTTCAACCGGAAGTGGGACGACTACAAGAACGGTTTTGGGAACATGACTGGGGAGTTCTGGTTGGGTCTGGAGAAGCTGTACCGCATCACGCTGCCCATCTGGTACCAGATGCGCGTCGACCTGGAGGACGCCATGGCTGACAAGGTGTTCACCATGTACACGGCCATGTCGGTGTCCCACCGGAGGACAGGATACGCACTGTCTATCGGAGACTGGTCCGGAAGGGGAGGTGGGTTTATTGGATTCATGTTCCAGACCTTGTCTCTAAAATCAAGGAGGTTATATGGAGACTTGCATGCAAATCTACTACAACTATCCAATGCGACTTCAGGGTGGCAAAACTGGGGTTTCAACGTCAGTTTTCTGGTCATTCTTTTGATGTACAAAGTTGAATCAACCCTATCCCATAGCATACTGGTATCACATTTGTGAGGTCCCCGACGGGAAATGGTCGCTTGTTTTGTATTATAGGCTGGTTCTAGCTATTTATGGGTGGTACCCCAAAAATAAAAGATTCCCTAGTGGCTTGTTTACAAAACATGTACATTTGTATGTCCCAACAGGTGACGGCATGGGGAGTAGCCGCAGCATGAAGTTCACCACTACCGACCGTGACAATGACAAACTGAAGGACAAGAACTGCGCCGACCTGGCCAAGGGCGGCTTCTGGTACAATGACTGCGGCGACTCCAACCCCAACGGCTACTACTACCTGGGGGAGTACGAGTCGGACTTCGATGACGGGATCTACTGGAACGGCTGGCACGGCCCCACCTACTCCCTCAAGTCTGTGGAGATGAAGATTCGAGCGCGTAGCTTCGGCCTGGACGGGTACACCTGCTATGAGAGCTGGGATTCCGACTTAAGGAAGTAAAATGGGTCCTGGCGCAGGGCTCATCAAGAAAGATCAATTTGAAAGTTAACACGACTAAGAAGAGTATGTTCTGTCCCTTATTATGGACACTTATGTTTGGGTTATTGTAAAGATTCATGAAGTAAAACAGGTCCTGGCACAGGGCTCATCAGGAAAGATCAAATAAAGTTAACACAACTAAGAAGGGTTTGTTTTGTCCGTTATATTCTATGGACACTGTTTGGGTTATTGTGTGATAGGATACTATGTATGTGACACAAGGGTAAAGATTGGATAGTAGAAAAGGGTAAAATTTTTTGTGAAGCCTTGCAAAGACCGTCAAGGTTATGGGACTTACTACTACTACTTGCAAAGAAAGGTTATGTTTTTGATTTCAGGAAGGCAAGACATAGGGCCAGTAGGTTGGGGTTTTCCTTGTAGGTAGGAGTTTGTAAAAAGCAACTGTTTGGTCAGATTAGGTGATACTGTATTGTGAGAGAACCATTGGACTGTGTATAAATATAATGTTAACACAGGAATGGGGTTGTACAGAGAAAATTATGGTGAAGAAAACCCTGACCATATGATTTGATCTACGGAAGTCCATGTAGAAACATTTATGTTATGAAATCTAAAAGAATATCCACATATTTATCAGTTTTATACCTTAGTAGAATAGGAAGACATACACATAAGATACCATTGTCTGCTATATATGCTTATTAAGATTGTTACGGCCAATTTTTAAGCAGCTTTTTGCAGACAATTTTTTACTAGTTGACTTGTGTGTACTTTTGATAAAACTAATAATCATACATTTTGTAACAAACAATGCAACTGAGAGAACCTCTTAATACAAGAGTCTCTTTTTTATGTTTTAAAGTATATTCTCCTACAATATGATTATCATACTATTTACCGATAGCACTTATATGACCTTCAAACAAATATGGTTTGAACAATATATCAAATTTCATACTATGTTGATTTAAAGCTAATAATCTGGTTGCAAATTTAGCTCTTGCAAGACAAAAGTTGTGCCTCTGTCTGATTTTATGCATTCAAACAATATTCTACTCTAGAGGAAACCATATTCTAGAAGTTTATGATTCTTCAACATACAATACTAGCATTTATGATACATGTATTTAGCCTACTCCCTGCTGCCTCACCCCAGAACCAATATAAATTTGGTGCCAAATGGCTACCTTAGCAGGCTGAAGTTTCAAGCTTACATTGTATCTTTCAGAGCACATTGTATCTTTCTGCAGCATACAATGTATTACAAACTATCCTCTTGATTTATATAAAGTATATCATATCACACTTGTATGTATAATTGTCTTAACAAGCAATGACTTACCTGCTGAACAAGTTTAAAGAACATGTAATCTCACCTGTGTAGCAGCCATAATTTCATCCTTTGAAGGTTTCTCATTGAAGATGTCACGCTCAGAGTCATCACTGAAAATAACAGTGCATTGTGTGACCTACAATTCATATATCCTAATATATATTTGTACATGTAAATCATTTCATAAATAAATAAAACTTCACTGTTGTCTCAAACATTAATTTTGTATGTCTTCTTTTTTCAGTGACCAGATTGTGGTTTATTGTAGTAACTGTACAATCACTATACTTTACAACAAGTTTTAAAGTTGCAGACAAATAATTTATTAGCATACTAGGCACACTGTGACAGTTAAACCAGGACAACGATATCAAAAAGGTAGCGTTTTGGAGGCTGTAGGGGCAGTGGGTTGTTGATCCACTGTGTCTAGAGCACAGTATTGGAAAGTAGAGCCCATCCCTCTCCTTTTTACCTCCCCCAAGTGAAGTCAAGTGTCCATTTTATACTTGGGTGGAGTACTCAATGAAAGTTGTGTAAACTGCTGCTCATGCCTAAAGTAATGGCAGGTTACATGTAACAAAACATCATGAAAGTTCATCTGTGTTGGTAGTAATCATACTAAATGTTATTCCAACACCAGGGGTACACGTTCAGAAGTGACTGGTCATTAATTATCCTTATAAATGCGACAGTGGTGTTGAAAATTTGATCTCTGTGTGTTACCCTTGTGTTGGAAGAAAGTTTAACATTTTACTGTGAAACAAAACAAAACAAAACAGTGTAGCATTACCTTGTCCTCCCCTCTCTTTTAGAGAACAAGTAGAACCTGTTCTTCTTGTAGGCAGTACAGAACAGGATGGGGTCCAGGTCAGTGTTCTGTAGCGAGGGGTTGTCCGAGGCGCGCAGCTCCACTGTGACGTGGGCTTTGGGCTTCTTGGACGACCCCTGGAATATGGCCAGCTGCATGAACCGGACATTCTCTGGCTGTGGGAGGGAGAGGGATGATGTTAGAACATGTCTGAAAGATTTCACAACTTGCAGTATTTAGAATTGTGAATTTCTGTTGATTCAATGTATGTTGAGTGATTTACCTCAGGTGTTTATATAGTGTAATGTCAGCTACATCAGTTTGACACATACTGCTAGATTTGATTAAAAAATGAACAAAGATCTACCTTGCCAATGACTCGGACACACTTATTGGTGTGAAGGTTGATAACTGAAAAGAAAGAACAAGCCAAAATGTTATAAGGTAGTTTTAATTTGACATTTATAATCAACTCGCAGAAAGGCAATCTTAACTTAATACGGATAAAATCATGTCACACTTATCTATAATACTTACCTTTGATGCCCAGCATGGTGGAATACAATATGAAATGACCACTTTCATCAAAAACTGTGGAAAAGAGATGACACAAAATTTACTGCACAATCCTTGGAAAAAAGATACATGTAACAATGTACCTTTACCAGTCTTGCTAATTTACATTAAAAGATCGGAGACAAAGAAACAACTACAAAACAAAGAAAGGTTACTTTGATTAAACTATGATTAAATGATCCTACATACTGATGTTGGCCAGGTACTGTGCAGTAGACTTCTCAATGTCCCTCTCCACAGCCATACGTCTGCCAAACTCCATGTTAGGAAGCTGTTGTCTCATCTACATCATTAAAACAGAATAAAGGAATAAAACTGCATAAGACATTATTCATTCAACAACCAGTGGATTTTCACATCAAACATTTCAGTGACCGTCTGTGCATATGATTTAGCCCCATTTTTGCCTAAACTGCAATTTAAATTGAACATAACAAGATTAGCCACTTGTTTGTTTCTTACCTGTTGCATTTCTGTGAAAACCTGTAAGGATTCATCAAAGACTCTGATCAACTTCCCAGTCAGGAACTTGAAGACTCTCACCTGTATAATCCAACAAGATGGAAGTCAGACATCATTACCTATACATATCTGACAAACTCTTGCATCTTTAAGCTTTTTAACTACCAACTGGTTATTGAATGAGGTAGTAGAAAAAAGGTTAGCATGGCAACAAAAAAACAACATTCATGTTACCTTTCTGTCTCTGGCAATTGTGGCAAATCTCTTTCCATCTGGTGAGAAAGCTAGGGAAATGGGAAGTGTTTTGCACTGGAAAAAAGACAAAAAAATGCACTTTTTACTGTTTAGCAGTTAATGTTCATGTGCAGTAGATGTTTTAGTACAGATAACCTAATTGAAGAATGTGAAAATATAACTGACACAGAGAAACATTTGTATCATTAACATTGAATGTTAAAGAGTGAACAAACCTTGGCAAACTCATACAGACTTGTGTCTGTCTTGTACTCAAAGCCGACATTTTTGGGGAACTTGTATTCTCCTGCAGGGCCTGACCAGTAGTCCACCATACCGGTCTCATCCGCCGACACAACTACATCATACACCGGGTTGTACTGAAAAACAATACAAACATTGAATCAGATGTAAACAACAACATCATATAGTACTTTCCCAAGGAAATGACATCTAGCCAGGAGTACCAGGAATCCAATCCACTAGGCCATTTTATGCTACCTTGCAACAATGTTACAAATTATATTTAAAGTTTACATTAAACTATATATTATAATATATATAAAGTCACCTTCATGAATAACACCCGGGCAGAGTGCATCTTGGGAAGGGTGTGGAGCCGCGTGGCTGACCTCCCGTCATAGATGTGAATGACTCCCGACTTCTTCTCAGTACTAAATAAACAAACAAACAAACAAACAAACAAACAAATATTTGTAGAGTCAAGAATCTGTAACTGTGGTAATATTCTATCTGAAACTTTAGATTGAAATACCGGGGGTAACCTGCAAATGTAGGCAGTATCTCCAGCCCTGGTATTGTATACTGTATTGTACATCCATGCCTTACCATGCCACAGCACAGATGGGATCTCCTGACTTGAAGATCCACTCTGCGACTCCAGGATGATATCCCAGCTTCATCATGTTGATCATGTCTACAGGGACAGATGGAAAGACATACTAACTCATAAGACTCACAGAAAAAAGACAGAAAATGTGTTATACAAGAACGTATAGGTAATATTGAAGACATGCAATCTTTAAATTGATATTGTATAACACTGCCAAGTCTGGCCACAACTCACAAAATATCTAGTAGACATACATGTATACGACTGCTGTTATCACTGTTGTACAATGTTCAGGGGAAAGATGATTGAGCCTACACTAGTACTACTATTCGTACTCACCAAAGTTGATGACATCAAACACCTTCATAGCCTGGTCATCAGACACTGTGCAGGCCATGGTACCGTCAGTACTGACTGCCAGACACTCCACATTTCCTGGAAATGGAAAGGGCCAGAATTGTGTTTTGCACTGGCTGAAAATTTGCAGCCGCTTAATTTTTGCAAAGTCATAACAAAGCAAAAATATGTATCCATTACTGTACTACTACGGAATCATTTCAATCAAAAAAATGTAAAACTCTGCAAAAACCTCCTTACTCCTCTTATCACAAAACTACATTGTATATCTCTATGAAAATAAATGAATTTACAGGTACAGTATGACAGTACACTACATAGACATAAGATATACATGTACTAACTAAGCATATATCTATAATACCTTGAGTCCTTGAGAAAAACTATGACAAAGAAAGTTTTAAAGCCTCACCCAAGTGAACTCTGAAGTGTTTGACAAACTCGATGCCTTCGTCTGCTTTCTTCCAGAACTTCAGGTGACCGTCACAACTGGCTGTCAGGATAAAGTCTGTCCTGAAATGTTACATGGGATGTTAGAAAAAACATAATTCCACTTTGCAAAACATTTTAGAAAGTTATTTCTGAAATAAGTAACGGATATCATGTACTGGTATATCATTTACTTGGCTACCAAATGTACATAATGAAAAGCAGCCTGCTGGGCAAGTGAGTATTTCATGGATAAAATGACAAAGACACAAACAAACAAACCATTCACATACCTGTCAGAACTGCCAACAATACCCCTGTAGAGAGGTGAAAACAAATATTGTTGTCAGGGCAAGAAGGTCAGGAATATCAATATCAGCATTATTTACAATTAATTGATTTTAAATATTTCTTCCTTGGGTCAAAGCCAGAAAAACTCATGATCAGACAAGACTGAAATTCATTCTCTCCCTATAGCTAGTGGACATCATCAATCACATATCACGGGATATTCTCACGATGTTTTGTCAAATTTCTGTTGTATAATAACTTACTTGGAGACTGCGACATATGTGATGACATCTCTGTGCATGTAGCTTCTCTCGTATGACTCTGCATTCGGCAGGTTGTCCAGGTAGATCTGCTCAAACTCTAACACTGCACAGTGCAGAATTCAGGACAGACATGTAAAAACACAAGCCACTTTCAGTCTCCCAGTATGGTACGTACCCCCAAATAACTTCAGCTAGGCTAGGACATAGTAAGGGGTTGGTTCGGGTGCGAAGGCCGGCAGGCTCCCCGAAAAGTCTCAACAGTGGGAGACGACACGACCGGGCCAGGCAACGAGTTCTACTCGGCTACTAGTATGGTACACTGGAAAAATGAGTACTTAGTACTAGTTTTAGAGATACATAGCACAAAGAACTGCATGTGGGGGAGGGGGGCACCAAACGCGTTCCACTACAGCACGATTTCAGACGTTTTCCAGTGAGATATGGCCACTGTACCTTTTCTCTTCTTTGGCTTGGCGGCCTCGGCAGGCAGAGGTCCGACCCAGGCGTCCTCTTCCTCCTCCTGACCACCGCGTTCCGCCGTTTCGTCATGCGAACGTTTCTTCTGCTCACCTTCCGACGCCATGATGCTTGGGACTATACCATTACCGAAAAGGGTATACTTATTTGATTGCAATACTTTGTACTTCCTGTAATTCTTTGTTATACGTTTTCAGACTGAAATAATGATTATTTTCCTAATATAAAAATTATGTATGCCAGGTCTTCGTAATATTAGAGAACTTTGAAAGTAATTATATCAATTTTGATGATACATTCGGCACACACCCCTTCAATGTAGTGGTATGCTTCAAAGGTGAAAGTTCATAGTTTGAAAAATGGCGGAACTGGCACGTTTTTGAAGACCTCCTGTGTTATCTGCCCCAATATTTACCGTTTTAGCTATTTTCTACGGTAGCCGTTGAATGGGAGGCTGGGTGAGAAGACTGCGGGCCCGCTGGCAGGCGTACCGGTACCGGTTCGTGCCGTGGATCGCTGTAAACCTGAAGGACAGGTCAGGCACAAACTTGTGTCGTCTGTACTACTGTAGTTTGCACCTGTCACTATCATTTGATGAAGAAATTTGTTACGTGATTGGGGAAGGTGTTCCACTACTATCATTTATAATGATTATCATTTTCAGTTAACTTTAGATCATCATTGGATCAACTTGTTTTTGAACTTAAAGTAAGGGAAAATTCTCAACCTTTTGCTGATATAACTTATTACACCATACAACACAACACAACACAACACAACACAACACAACAACTGTTTTACTGCACTCCGTTGTTCAAAACTATACTGTACTGTGCTATACATACTGTATATTCTGTCACTGTATTATGCTGTACCTGACTGAAGAGATCTACTCTACTCTGTAACTTACTCTGTATAAACTTACTGTGTTATTATTTTGTACTTACAGGAAGGTGCGGTCTGTCCCCAAAGGCACGCAGGACAAGATCATCCCAGACTCAGCCGTCTTGTCAACCCTGGTGGAGTTTTTCAGTGCCCTGGAGGGAGGTCCAGCAAACCGTAGCCCACACAACTCTTCAAACAGGACAGACGATGCCCCCTATCAGCCATCCAGCAAACTGCATTCATATGCCACCACTCATGATACTGTAAACTTTAGACCTGGAAATGTAGACTATGACAGAACTTTTCACTACAATTCAAACACTGGATCAAGGATAAAAAATGCTTTAATAGAAAGAGCACTGCCTCAAATCTATGCTTTACCTAACCATGAGTATGGGAGCATCAATGAAGACATTTTGTCTACACAAAGCAACATTTTCTCAAGCATGTCCAGTTCCTATACCGATGATGATAAATTTTTACACAACCAGATGAACTACTCCCATCCTTTGATGAACAACTACAAGACTGCAACCAGCCCTAATGTCACAATTAGACAGAAAGGAAATATGAATTTTCGGAAATATAGAACTGAAGTGACGGTCCCTCCTATGGAAAGATATCACCATGGTTTGGAGGTGATGTTGAAGACGCTCGGGTTCTGCACAGAGAGGAAGGAAAGTAGTTTAGTGGGAGCAGGGAGAGGAGTATTTGTGACGAGGGGAACTGTTCCAGCTAAAACTGTAGTTTCCATGTATCCAGGTAGGGGGCATTGAAAACATATGAAATGTATTTCTTCAATTAAAGTGTAGCTTGAAATTACTGCCATTGGTTGTAACTGCTGTTTCACATTTTATCTCATTCTGTGTCTGTATTTGTAAAGCCTGTATAACTGCCCTTTGGCATAACAGTAACCAGCTTGGTAGGCACATGGCACAGTCTCAGCTGGCTACTATATATTACACTGAACTACTTGTTACAGCTAACCTGTGAACATCTTACTCCAAACATTGTTTAAAGCTATCTGGTGGCCTAAATTCTGTCTTTTTACAGGTACAATGTACTACCCTTTTGAACCCATCCTCCTACAGTCCATAGCCAACCCGTTTGTGTTCCGCTGTATTGATGGAGTCTTCATTGATGGGAATGACTGTAGGATCTCAAAGATGATCTACAGGTATTCAACATGCCCAAAAATCCTTTACTTTAAAATTCTCCATTTCTGTTTCTTTCTTGTAAAACGTCCTTGGATAGTGTTACAACTGTGAACAAAAATTTTGTTCAAACTGTGTTCCAGGTCTTGTGCTGGGCGTGACCGGATTGGACCGTACTTGACCTGTGACCGGTCGTGGCTGACTCAATATCCTAAAAATCCACTGGCCGTGGGACAGTATGTGAACAACCAGTCTGCAGGTCAGGGGTCATATCTATGCTGAAATGTCATCTCATACTATCATGCTATTGCACCCCTACATCAAAAATGGTAGTGTCCATGGTACTGAAATGCCATCTCACACTGCTGTGCATGGTTTAGCAGGAATTTTGCATGGTAGATAGCTCTTGGTTAACAGATAATTTGACATTATATTTTAGAAAAGATAGCCTTTAATTTCACAGAGGCTATTCCGTATTGTGTGTTTTTCTTTAAGTAGGCAGTCAACTATTTTTAAATTACTCTCTATCTCTGGTGCACATTTCTGCTACTGGTATACATGTATACTTACTAGTGTTATTCCCCCCCATCAGGTCACCCAGCCAATGTAGCATACCAGGAGTATAACATCCAAGTGGACTTCCCATTCACTCTGAGGAAGTATCTCCCTAACATCCACTATAGCCCCAACCTGCAGACTGCTGGGGATGCCAGTTACAGGTTTGTATTCATAATGGCACAATATACATTTGTACCATGTACATTTGTACTTGTGCTTATTAATTGTCTCGAGCGGTCTGATTTCAATGTACAAAATGTATATTTTTAATCTCAAAGCAGAACTTTTGGTGGCTGCAAAGACAGTATCAAATTTGCCTGACAGTATCCATTTGCCAGACAAAAACACAGCAAAAATAAGCCTAAGCCTCTGTTTGGAGAGTAGTATATACATGTAATTGTCTCATTGTATGCAATATTTGATGAAAGGTGTTTGAATGTTGCATTTTTTGTTACAGGTCACTCAGAGTGGTGGTACTGGTGTCTTTACGTGACATCCAAGCAGGGGAGGAACTCTTTTCATCTTACTTCACCCTCGTGGAATAAGCTGTTATTTCACCTTCTCCGAACTAAAGAAGCCGTTTGGCACTGAATTTGACAATGTATTAATTATGGGGATAGGCAGCAGAGAGTAGGTTAGAAAAAGTCTGCAAACTCTGCGGTCTGGTCTATGTTAACATGGTAATGGTTTCCTTCACTGCCTGCATTACCCATGGTGCAAAGTGCTTCCCAGCATGCAATGTCTATGAAACAACGTACACCTCTATCTTGTCCAAATGATACACAAAATGTAGCTCTACTGTAAGCAGGAAAAAAGAACAGTTACAACACTTCTCTCACCACAGCACTTTATTGATTGATTCATAGATTCTCCACTTTCCCATAATATTAATATGCACAGTACAAAGCACCTATGGCCATATTGAATCATTGTACATGGGTCAGTAGTATCAAAGTTACCTATATACAACAAAGTAAGATGGAACCACCTCACGTTCGAACTCAGAAATAACAGAGCGAACCTTTCGCTCCAAGTATTTGCACAATGATATTGAATATGCTGATAACTCTTCTATCCACCACCAATAGATATATTTTTACGTAGTACCACTGACGTTTCTCACAAGAAATTCTATAATGTACATACATGTACAGTGATACTATAGTAATAGCAAATGCAGCACAATTCTCTTGGGAGTATGAACATAACAGAGCTGATATTACACAAGCGAATGGTAAATTACAGAAAAGTGTATTTTTCCTAAAGGGTTTGCGTCCCTACTTTAACAGACTTCCAATACAATTTAGATGTACAACATGTCAGTCTTTGTAAGTTGACTCTGTGTCACTTGTAAGAGCTTTAATAGCATTGCCAGTTTTGAAATGATTACCAACATCACCTCATACTGTGAACCAAAACTTCTGACAGAATAAAATCCGTTTCTGGTTTGTTGACTACCATACTGATCTACTTTGAAGTGTTTTACAACAAAGATGCCTTTATTACAGTAGCAATGCAGAACAGTCTCGCAATAGAAAAGTTTAAAATAGAGGTAAAATCAGGCAAACAATTATGACAGCAACCAAGGCCTGTTCACAATGTTTCACTGGTTACGTCTTTGATCAGCCTTCGACATTGTTTTTATGCCTATGGGCAGGAATGTTAGGTCGATTAGTTGCATAGCAGTAGAAGAACAACATCAAGAACATCAAAAATTTCAGCAGCACAGCACATTATCAGGAACCCAACACGCACACGCACACACTGTCTGGCCCTGGGAGAGAACCCTGTATCATGGATACAAAAAACTACCTCACACAAGGCATTGTGTGTGGACACTGATAACTCGGCATATCTTGCCATGGAAAACATTCTACACTACATTTTCCTATATAATCTTTAGTTACAATAGACCACCACAATAGTCTGTCCTTTTTGTGGGCCAATTATACATTGGCCCTATTTGTTGTGAGAGTCTGTAGTACTCTTAAGTGCTTAAGGTTTTTCCGGAATAGATTTAGTAGTAGTACATTGTTATACCACATACTGTCACTAGCCACAACATGCCTGGTGTGCTAGCAGTTTATAATATTTGCACTGAAAAAAGGACTATCAATTTTAAAGTAGAGTAAAGCTTGTACAGAGCTGTTCTATACCAGGGATTTTTGCAGCATTGTCTATGGTCATTGGCATGCAAGAAGCTTACAAAGGCCATGAGAGATGTAGGCACTATCTTTGTTCCTTTTTATCGGCACTGGAACCCCAAGAAATTAGATGAAAAGTCTAATGAAGGTGTGTCAGGAAAATGATACAAATTGTTATTAAACCCTTGTTATTAGTGTCTTGCAATTTTCTTGATTCTGGAAAGCTACCCATCATTATATAATATTAACATTCAAGGAAAATGCTGTAATGACTGGAGCACATATGCAGATTCAAAACACAACGCTATGTGATGAAGTAAGAGCAAAGAGAATAGTGCCTACATCTTCAGAATGCCTTGTCTGAGATATTAAACTTCATTGCTACATCAGAAATTGCACATGGATTGCTCTCACATCTTATACACCCACCATTGCAATGATCTACAGAAGTGCTGGGGTTCTAAAAGCTCTACAGACTTATGCCTATGTTCTTTGCAGTTCTAGGCAAAGTTCTTAGTATGGAAATGCATTACTGACATTGAAGTTTTGGGGGAGGGGGAGAGTGTTACATACAGAACATCCATAGCTTCTGGAGAGACAAGGAATGAACTACAGTAAGTTGGAATGGTAGTTACTTTTGTGTAGCATATTTGGTGGGCATTTTTTTTTAACATTATCTTCTCGTAACTTCCTGTACAATCTTAGCACCTTCACCTGCACAGTACCGGATTCACCAAGCAGCTATATAATATTTTTTTACCTGACTGAAACCCTTAACATGTTCATTGGCCCTTGTACATCATGCTAGGTTTGACATGACCAGAACTGTTATAAGATATATTTATCCTTGTTCTTGTGCTGTTTGAACAGCTGGTCTTGAAGTCTTTGATGCAGTAATTATAAGAATGGACCTCTTCATGCTTGCTTGGTACATTATGGGTTAGCCAAGGAATCATAGGCTACTTGACTTGCTGTCTACATTATGCCCTTATTCATGGCCTTAACAAAGGCCACTTTCACGTACGACTCAAAATGCATTTCTTCCTTTGGCACAAGTTTAAGCTGATTCTGTTTGAGCCAATGCAAGCCCCAGATACTAGTAGATTTGTGTCTTTGTTCACAGTATTTGAGAGGCAGTTTCAACAATCTGCATGCAGTTTAGCTATGCGTTGTGCCAAAGGAAGAAATACCAATCAGGTATAAGTTTTTCAAATCTGGCTTCACTCCCTTTGAAGACTACACTCCACGACACTTCTTCTTCATCACATGCTCCTGAATGGCACCACGATTGCGTCCCGATGCCATCGTCGGTGGCTTGACCGAGTTATTTCCTTGCCTCTGTACATCAGCAGCTCCTGCGCTATACAGCAGTTCCCTTTGTGCAAAAACATATTTACAGAAAACAACAACAACTTTCAGAATGTAGCAGCCTGCCCTCAGCTGCAACCGTGCAAGATGTCCCCACACTTTTGGAGCAGGCTTTTTTTATATATCCGTGGTGTAGAGCACAGATGCGAATGCATTAAGTCAGTCACAATGAATCGGTGTGTACTTCAACTGTCACGCTGAGAGAATGTCAAATGAAATGACACACACGGAGGACGTACTACAAATAGTTACGTTGTTTACGGAGTATGCGTCTATTTGTCACTCTTGTCGCTGGACTCCCCGCTGGACTTAAACAGCTGCTTTCTCTCCTGCCACAAGCTTTTGCTATCCCGTTTGCCGTTCCCTTTCCTCTTGGCACCGCTCGGGTAGGTTTCGTCCCCGCTACCCCCGCTGACACTCGTCCCGCTCCCACTCGCAGAGCTCAGGGGTTTATCCGGGGACAACGCCCTCCGCAGAAGGGGTGACCCCGGCGGGTCCGCGCTCTTTGGTCTTGTCACGTGCTTCCCGCTGGGCGTGGCGACTGTTACTGTTGTAGCGCTGTGAACGGGGAAGGACTGCGTCGTGTTCGAGATTCCCGGATGGTTGCTGACGAGAGTGAGCGGGCTGGGGCTGCGCGTGGGCGACGTCGCGCTGGGGGAGGGCGACGGCGTCCTGGCCAGCGGCGACAGCGGGATGTGCCCCACCGACTTCCTCCGAGGAGAGCGGAATGTTCTGGCCAGCTTGTGGCTGAGCCCGTGTAGCGAGCTCGGACGGGGGAAGTGTGCGGAGTTGGCCGGGGAGTTCGGGACGCTCGAGCTGGGGGAACTGCTCTGCGAGGAGTTTGTTGTGGTGGAGTGAGCAGAGTCTGGGGGCGAGCGGTAGTGAGGCGGGGACCGGGGGGACTTCTGCGGCCTGGTTGGCGATCCGGGTAAACTCTCGTTCGAAGACAGCGACCGGCTGAGAAAGCCGACGCTCTTGCTCTGCGTTAGCGTTGGGATGCCGTGTCGATGCTTCTCCACTTGCGGGTGCATGTGGTGGAAGTCCGTGCTCCCGCGCTTGCTGCTCAGTCTTCTGAAGATGGAGCTGCGTCGCTTCTTCTCCGCGCCTCCCTCCTTCTTCCACTTTTTCTTGCGCCGCCGCATCATCTTGGACGCGGAGGGGACCCTCTTCCGGCCGCCGGCCTTGATGGAGGTTTTCTCCAGGGGGCAGGCCTGGATGGTGACCTTGTTGCCGTCCCGGAGGATGAGTTGTACGACCTGGGTGTGCAGGAGACCCTGCACGTGCTCGTTGTTGACCTGGGTGATCAGGTCACCCGGTCTCAGCCCCGCCGCGTAGGCTGGTCCCTTCTCATCAACAGCCTGCGAAGAAAAAAAGGAAGCATACAGTTAGTACAGTTATTTGGTATTAGGGAAAAGGCTAGCATGTTCCTAAAATTCATGTAAGACCCATATGTGTGCATAGGTCAAAATCATCAACATCATCATTCTTATGTACTGCTTAGCTCATTTTACATCAGATTACTAGCAGTTCAAAAGCCAAGCATGTTACCTGTAAGACCCATACATGTATGACTGTGTGCTTAGGTCAATATCTTTATGATGACAAAGAATGGATCACACTACCAGGTCTAGTGGCAGAAAAATTCTCTCTTTCTACTATTCAAGAATCTTGTCTAATAAAGAACCTTCCTGCAAACTTGATGAAAGTATTTGTGGAGTAAAAATCTGCAATCAAAGTGTCATATTTTACAGTACTATAGAATGTACATTGTACTCACCATGACTAGATGGTGCACAGTGTAGACATCGCTGTCTCCCATGTACACGCGGATGGCGCGCAGAGTGAAGCCGAACCCTCGGGGGCCCTTCTTGATGACCATGGGGGCCTTGAGGCTCTCCAGCAGGGGGGAGTACTCCCTTGTTGGGGACACGTCACGAGAGCTGGGCGTGGAGCTGGGAGACTGCAGCGGCTGGGGAAGACCTCGCTCGTCTGGGAGGACAAAGGAACATTGTTAGATGTCATGTATGTATATATCTGCCCCTCGGCATAACACACCAGCTTCTGTATCTGTAAGTGTATATATGTAGCTGGTATAACAATGGTACCCCTTGGCATAACACACCAGTTTCTATATCATTCTGTATTAGCCAGTATAACCGTCCCCGTATATAGCCAGTTTAACTGCCCCTTGTCATAACACACCGGTTTCAGTATCTGTTAGTCTGTATAACTGACCCTCAGAATAACACACCAGCCTCTGTATCTGCATAGCCTTTACAACGACCCTTTGTGGTAACACACCAGCTTCTGTAGCTGTATAGCTGGTAAAACTGCCCCTCAGCATAACATACCAGCTTCTGGGCCTGTATCTTTATAGCTGATATAACCGCCACTTCGCATAAAAGATCCTGGCTACTTCAGGGTGCTATTAGGTTAACCAAAACAATAACCACCATTACCTGAGGGTATGAGCAGAGACAGGGCTGTGGCAGAGGCAGACTTGATCATGGGGATGTTGCGTCCTGCCACCCTGTTCACCAGGTCGATCAGCTCCCGGTCCCCACTGGGCTTCCTGTGCCGGATGTCGGGGACAGGTAGCTCGATGGGCTCCTGCATGGAGGAGAAGTTCAGGGTTACTAATGCTTTAAATACATCCACACTAAACTTTCATCAGGTTAGCAAATCAGTCTATTTAAAATGGTTTTCTTAGTTCCACAATGGTACCATACATTTTACTGTGCCTCTCTGTCATCTTCATTTGAGGCCAAACTGAACTTTCAATCTACATGTAAGTTAAACTGAACTTTGATGACACACTATAACAAAGAGGTTGTCAAAATGCCAGCACAGTAAAATATATGGCTGTGGAACTTCGAAAACTATTAACTTTCAATCTCGCTTTCAATACATTCATGTTAAATACATCAGAAACCTAGGAAAGAAAGCAAGGTCTTTTCATAAAGCAACAGTCTGAAAGAAAGAAATTTCATTGCAAAAGTGTTGTAGACAATATCAGTGGTCTGGTCTGGAAATCAACGCAAGACCATAAACTAAAAGCCCACACCACTCAATGTTCTGCAAAAACCCAGGTAAGCCTAGAAGGTAAACTGGTACTACCATAGACTGAAAGCACTCAACATAAAGCACCTGTGATGTCATCCTTTTACATTTTGAGTCGTACAGTGACTCAAAAGTTAAACAGCTTGAAATAGGACAAATCATTATGGATTGTCTACTGTCTGGTGGCAAGTGTTTTGCTCAAGTTGACTGAGGATATTGGCAGATTGGTAATTCTCACATGGGCAAATTTGTGTGTTTGAAATATTGCCATGCCTCTGTACAGGGATTTGAAATTCAATAGTCCCTGCCAGTAATAACATTTTATTCGATGATACAGTTGAAATTGGAGGAAGCAGCCACAATATCAACAAGAAGCCATAGGTGACAATTCTCCGTGAAGTATTATATATTGCAACAAAAAGAAGTAGCCATTGGCGACAATTCTCTGTGAAGTGTGATAAATCGAACAAAGAAAAATTGTTTAAACGCGCGTCGGCTCAGTCATCTTAAGACGCAACAACCAATCAGAGATGCCTACACGTGACGTGGGAAGGGCGCGCGATGCCCGAAATATTTTTGCGTCAATATTCAGCGCCGTGATTCAAGAGATTAATACCCGGAAACAATTTTTTTCTTGTTTTGAACGCATTAACATGCATTTACGCTAATCTAGTATGATTCAGGGTTACTTTTTTTTTAACCTGCCATGGCCAGATTATCTAAAGATGTGTGTATTGTGTGTACAATCTATAGAAAGAGAAATGTACATCAGGTCCGATCATCCGATTTTCACGTTTCGGTTTTTTGGACTCGGTTCATGAACGTATTTTGGTTTGGCTCCTGGAATGTGCGAAAAAAATGACTCCCGGGACTGTCTACAGGGAACACTCGCACATTCGCGGTGTATCAGGACAGCGCGACTGGTCGTCATTAGCGCAGTAACAGTTGCATAAACGGACGAAACCATTTCAAAGAAATGGGGATGTTTCGAAAATAAGCATTTACTCCAATATCAAAACAGCTACGGTAAAAATAAAAAGACGTGCATCATCCCGGACATAATGCAACACCACATGCGAAATTACACAGAAATGCGACGTACGGAAGAATGCGTTTTGGCTGCGAACATCTTCCAAAAAACTTGGCATCTCTTAACCATGGGCAAAAACATCTGGAACCACTTATAAAAACCACCCCGTATCTGCATGAACTTTTTTGAACCTACTGCTATTCCAAACAACGCGTTTTTCTGGACCATTCCAATTCGCCTCGTAATTGTAGGGGTGCGTCTGCGATATTACATTGACCGCGAAAGCAGCAACGGCAAAAATACACATTCGTGCATCAACACGGGCATGCCCGCAGACGGCGTATAAAATTGCGTGCCGATTACACAAAGAGAACCCAGTGTTTTGACTGCGAACATGAAAAATCAGCCGATTACAACACTCCGTCCGGAGGTCCTGACCTCCTTCACGGAGTAATAAATTGTCCTGTGCAACAGAAGTCTAGGTTATGTCTTGCATTCTAACCAATCAATCCAGCCCTCTGGGTTTGAATGACAAATTGTGTATTTTCAGTTGGTGCTCAAGCACGTACAGTGATTTGTTATGGTTAGGGGTGCCTAACATTCACTGCATCTCACCACATACAATGCAGTACATCATCACTCCCATCACAATATCAGCCTGGAGTGTACAAAATGCATTAGCCTCTCAAAGGGAGCTTCATGTCCCAATGTTGAGGGGGAGGGGGCACGCCGCTAGTACAGAAAATGTTTCCAAAAGTCACAGAAACACTTGAGACCAGCCGACAGCGCGTGTGGAAAAGTAGAGACAACAATGTAATGGACTGAGCCACACTCCAGGGACAAGAAGGGCACTTCTTTTTCAGCAATGCCCTATTAATCATGGGCTTGAGAAGGACCCTTTGGGTGATTCTGTTCTCAACAGTGTTAACGTACTGCGACTTTGGCGGAAAAACCCTTCTTGTTTAGAATACCACATGATGCCTTCCCGAGTTGGCATGCTGCAGTGTTACACCACAGACTCAAAGCATGCAGTTAAATGTCACACCATCCCCAGACATTAAAATGGTGAGAAGCAAGTGCGTGGTAGTTAATATGTACAACCAAGGAGGACAACAACTATGCAAAAGCAGAAGACAACCAACACCACCAGTATCACTGCACAACACATCACATCCACATGCACTCACCCTAGCTGGTTTTCCTTTCTTCTGTAAGGTGAGGGGGAATAGAGAAGATGCTGAGTTAGGCTCGGGCATGCTGGTACTCATGAGTACATATTATCTTACTTCAATCCTGTGGTGCTTAGGTGAGGGGAGAGACCACAAATGCAAACCAAGACACATACATGTATAAATATCGACTACACAAACACACAGTAAGTTGCTTTTGCTAGGACGGATACCTTGTTTACACAGCTTTCTATTCCACAAATTACAGCAGACTCAAGAAAAATACATGGCAACAAAGCTGATGTACAAAACCTTGATGTTCAAAAAGGTCACATTTGACATCAAAGCGCAGTACATTCAATTTCCAAGCCAAAGCCCAGCCAGGCTGTTTGCGTGAATTTTGTACTGTATGAAGAATGAATTACCCATTAAAAAAAATAGCACTCAATTAGTTTTTTTTTTCCAATTTTTTTTCAACCCGTCTTTTATATCATATTTTTCGTCCTCTTTGACTGCCCGGGCTGGCTCCTGGTAGGAAAATGTGACCTTAGCAAAATGCGAGATACATTTTGTATTTCATCAACAGTGGTTTGTGATGCCACACAATATTATTTATGTGCATGTACAAGCTTTTCAGAGCTAGAAAAAAATGTCAGCCTGAGTTCTCACCAGGAAGCAGCTGTCGTCATCCTCCATGGAGATGGCGAGTCTGGGCAGCGTGTCCCGCGAGCTGAAGCGGCGCCGTCGGACCGTGATGGGGGGAGAACTCTCGCTCTCCGTCTGGGACGAGTCTGTCGCTCGCGGTCTGAACTTTGGTGTGCTGGAAAGGTCATGACAGTATGAATAGGACACTGTTAATATTATGCTCTCTAGACTGGTAATACTGTAAATTCATCAAGTTTCGTAGGGGCTGTTTGAATATCACAGTGAAGGGTTTTGTGATCTTTAAGGCTCCTTACTGGAACAATTCTGTGATCATGGTAGTATAGTGGTAATCCCTTCTGAAAATAATTTTATCAGGTTCGTAGAACAGAGTTGTGGTGTCATAAATACGAAGTGGATTGACACTGTGAAAACCATGAATATAAAAACATGTCCATCACAAACATTTTAAGATTTATAGTTGTTGTAACACATACTGGAATTGGTCCAAGAAAAATCATGAAAAGTCTGCCTTTGGAACATCATTCTGCAGGAATCAAGTCACTGTCACAGAGGATTGATAATCCAATCATGCGTACCATTCAGGAGAACTGACACCTCCCACTGCCCCAAGCTCCGCCTCCTTGTCGCTGGCCTTTGGTGTACTCTCTCTGGGCTCCACACTGCCGGTACTACTGACACTGTCTGTCCTACTGCCCTTCTCAGACTCTCCTGGGCGGGAACTCTCGGCTGCTGGCTTCGCAGGCGTGTCGTCTGCTGGTCTCTCAGCCTCCCTCCGGGATGTGTCAGGTTTGGGCTCCACTCTCTTTGAATAAATGAATGAATGAATGGTTTATTCATTAATCATTTTGATCAGGTAAAGCACATTACAGCCATGGGCTGAATTGCATACTTTTTTTTACATATTTAAAAACTGTTGGCACTAGGCTCTTAAATTATTATCTTTCCTATTTAATAATATAAAAGACAGGAAACGTTACCCTTGTTTCTTTGGCTAGCTCTGATTCGCTCTTGCATACTTTTTATATCTTTAAAAACTGTTGGCACAAGGCTCTTTAAATACCAGTTAGCGCTTATTAAATTATCTTTCCTATTTAACAATATATTGACAATGACATTGAAACAATGAAAATATAAAACACAGGAAACGTTACCCTTGTTTCTTTGGCTAGCTCTGATTCGCTCTTGCTCCTGTCCTTGATGGCCTTCCTGCGCTCGATCCCGCGGCCTCCCGTCGGTGTCTCCTCGGCGGTGAGTCTCTCCATGCTGCTGCTCTTCCCGTCCAGGGACATGGAGAGTCTGTCGGAGCTGCTGTAGCTGCGGTGGTAGCGCGGGGAGCAGGAGGAGAAGTTGCTCAGGTCAGGGTACTGCTCCTCTTCTGACTCACCCGACTCCAGCTCGTGGTTGTATCTTTCCTGTCGAGCTGGAAATGTGAGATACGATAGTATGTTAACCAAGGATTGTGGGGTTCAATAACTTGTTTTTTCCTAGAGTGGAACTTGCAAGAAGTACATTGCACTAGTCTTGAAAAATCAAACTTCTCTTTCATTCAACAACATGCATCACAACTATTACAGTAACTGTAACATCTTTGGATCATAGCTACACTACAAAATACTTCTCTTGGGCTCTTGTTGTCTTGCTAGATAATACTTCACAATGATACAAGTTCAAATTTGCTGATTTCCTAGTTGGAGATGAAGTGTCTGGACTATGGATGGGACTCTGGACTATGGATGGGATGACAAAACAAAGCAAAACAGAAAACTTACTGTCAAAGTAACTTGTATCTTCCTCATCGTCTAACTGTGGCACAAACTCTGCCTTCTGCCTGAGCAGCATAGTCCAGTCCAGGTCGGCGAAGAACTCGTGTTCCTTGAGCTCGTACGCGCCTGTGGTGCCGAGTCTCTCCACCGGGTTCTGCTCCAGCAGTCTGGTGATCAGGTCCTTGGCGTCGTCTGGGGGAGCCTCTTCTCCTTCTGGCCATACTATTTCATCTGAGGGGTAACATAGAACAACAAGTTAAAACTATGAAATATCATCTTTAAATTGAATCAGTAAGGGACGAAAGAAATTTGAAAGGGAATAACAGAAATTGTGTTCACAGTAAGCAGTTCTTTATTCACAACCACTTGTTTAAAAAGAGCTTTAGGTCTTGTTGAATCAAAACTACTTGATTCACAAATGGTTGTGAATGAACATCTTTGCTATTCAATCATTGACACCAATCTGGTAATACTAATCTCAGATGTATCTCTAACATCGCAAATAAATAATTTAATTTAATAATAAGCACTGAATGGACTTTAACCTTCTCCTTGCTGATTTATCTCATAACTAATAGAGACTTGGTAGCCAAACAGCTACTTTAATGTGCTAAATGGGAAGGCTGATGACATTTCAGCACCGTGGACAGATCTACTTTTGCAGATCTATTTGTGATGTGATGGCATTTCAGTACCTGTCAAATCACATACAATGTAGTCATGACTATCTCAGTGTGCTACAGGCTAGAATGATACATATGGTCACATAACATTTTAACTCACCGTTGACAGCCTGTGAAAACAGCTCCTCGGGTGTTTCTCCGAAGAACGGCACACAGCCGACCAGGAACTCATACAGGATAATCCCCATGGACCACCAGTCTACTGGCTTTCCTACAGGACAATTGGAAATAATAACATTACAAACTGCATGCAAACAAAGTTAACAAACAAACAACTCCATCAATGCATGGTTTGCAAACCCCAAACACTGGGAAAGACTTCCAAGCACTGGAAAAATTAAAAATGTAAAAGATACAGGATTAAGTTTAAGCAGCAGAAGATATGGCTAAAGACCGTATGTGCTTCTTGAGGGTACCTTATGGAGAGGAACAAGGTTCTATCTAGCTTCTGCACTTAGGTAATGCAAAGTCAACATCTACATTTATGACATAAAGAATGTATGAGTTCATATGGACTATGTTTTATTCCAGCTTTGCCCCCTACTCTATTTTAAATTCAACTTATTCATTGACAATTTTGAGATGGATATCACTAGCTGTTAATGTAAGCACCCCAATTCAGGTTTACTAAAAGGGTTGCTAGATGTAACCTGTGAATGAATAAATAAACCATTACTGGGTAGGGGGATCTGTCGTCGTGTAAGAAAACTTGACTCACCATAACCCTGTCTGAGGATGACCTCTGGTGCGATGTACTCCGGTGTCCCACACACCTGCTTGTCTGTGAACTGTTTCGGGTCCAGCGTGTCCTCATACAGGTTTGTGGTCAGGCTCATCAGGCCCATCTTAGACAGCCCAAAGTCCGTCAACTTTATGTGCCCCATGGACGTAATCAGCAGGTTGTCGGGTTTCAGGTCTCGGTGGACGATCCCGTAGCTGTGGATATACTCCACGGCCAGGACGGTCTCGGCGAAGTACATGCGAGCCATGTCTACGGGCAGGGGGCCCATGTTCTTCAGAAGTGTGGCACAGTCACCTCCTTCTACATACTCTAGCACCATACATAGGTGTTTCTGTGGGGAGCAATAGCAATCAGAAAAATTATTACTCTTGGGAATGGCAATTTGGAAGTATTAGTTCTTCACAAAATTTTTCATTTATAAAACAGTAAACAGCACATGTGAACTTTCTGGGACATGTTCTGTTCTGCATATGCCTCATGATCAGGATGAACCTGTCAAACTGTATGCTTTCTTCAAGCCATCCCATGGCAGACTCCAATGAGGACAACAGTCTACACATGTACCATTTAATTACAATAATTTACTTCAACAGCTCCTGAGAAATTACAACACCCAACTCTCAGTGAAACAGATCCCCAACCTTGCTAGCAACAAGGGGAAGTGGCATCAATCAATACAGTTTTGAGCGTTGAGTAAGTCACACAGGGAATTGGCAAACAGTACTAGTGGAATCCCTTACCTTAGTTTCAAAGCTGCAGTACATGGTGACGACAAACGGGTTCTCTGCGAAGGTGAGGATGTCCCTCTCGGTGAAGGCCTGCTGGATCTGGTTCCGCAGCATCAGGTTCTGTTTGTTGATCTTCTTCAGGGCGTAGCGCTGTTTGGTCTCCTTGTGTCGAACCAGGTACACCGCTCTGTGGGCATCATAGATGATAGGAAACCAAAGGTCAATATCTTTGATGTGATCCTCCTTTACAAGTTGAATTAAAAATCATCTTATTCTTTATTTCCTTTATTTGCACATTTGATAAAAACCATAATACAAAGTAAAAGTGCTAATATCCACACATCTTTTCCACTTATACCAACTACTGTACATGTAAGTATTGTATACACCTTTGAGATTGCAGATTGCTATTGAAAAACAAAAACAATCACAATGAAAAAATTGTGTTTGTGTAATTATTATCATAAATGCAGTATTCAAATCCTAGGATGACTGAATATAATTACCCGTAAGCTCCGTTGCTGATCAGTTTGACGGTCTCAAAGTCATCTTCGCTGGGTTTCTTCTCTGTTCCCTCCAGCTTGCCTGCACAGGTGGTCTGCAGTACCAAAACAAGGCCATGTTGTCAGTAGGGGGAGCAACTAGACAAGGGTGTATCACTTACTGATGGGAACATTCAATTCAGAATCTGTTAGCAACAGTTGACAGCCTTTTTAAAACATTAAAAACTTCAAACAGTGCTTTTTCCTTTTTCAATGTAGTGACTGGTATTTTTAATTATGATCCACCATACACAATTTATAGACATATACATACTGCTCTTATGGAAATGCTGATAATGAAAAGCTTTAAGTTTATACAATAATCTTAATTTTGCATATACAGAGTCAGTAGTTACATGTGCTAAGAGTAATTGAATCGAATGTGCGACTGAAAATTTGAGGTGAGAAAAGATATGATTCATCTTCATCAAGGAATGTACAATGCACCAACACAGATGAGCTTTCATGCTAATAGAGTTATTCACCTCACTAGCCGCCTCACTGGCGGAGGTTTCATCAGTGTCGGGAGTGTCAGGTCTTCCGCTGTCTGTGTCCACATCAAAGTTGGACAAGTCGCTCATTTCTGGGATGACAAAACAGTTGTGGTTGGCTTCTAACATAGGGTAGGCTGGAATCAATGGTGTGCGTTTAGCTACAGTTCTACATGTATGCAGTCATGTGTTCAGGCTATTCCATCTTAGAACCTCAAGAGGGGGCAGTTAGGAGTTCTTTTCTCTTCATCAGTCCAATCTTCTATTCCTTTTTTATGATCCTTGAGACTGCCCCTCTTAACGTTTAAAATGGAATATGCCTGAGGTGAATTCCATGGCATTTTGCAAAAGGAGTTTTTGCCTTTCTTGTTATATTGGTGGTTTCTCAGCATGCTCTACTGTTATAGCACATGCAGCATGACAGGCAGGCAAGTCAGGATTACTGGATGGCATGCGTTCAAAATCTGTTTCTCTGGAAAAAAATGATACCGTGAAATTGGGATAGTACATGTATGTACATGTATCATGCATCCATGTTAATATCGAAAATAGTGATACATGTACAATGTAATTTACAAAGAAATGAAAAGAAAGAAAGAAGTACAGAAGAGGTCATAGTACTTTGATAATCGAAACTAAGCAAAAGCAAACAGAACTTGAAATTAGCTTAAACTTATGATAGTAGCAAACCATTGATCTATAAACCGGGATGTAAACATGTGTAGGAAAGCAAGAGGTTATCAAAGGACGTAATCACATCACATGACAGGACAGAAACTTACCTAGGATTTCTGTGCAAAGTGACGAAGGATAGGAAGCAAGGAAGAGAAAGACAGTAGAAGTCAGATAGAGCAGCATAAAGATAGAACGGACAGGTAGGAAACATAGCACTTTTGTGCCTGTGTGAATAATGCCATTTTGTCTTATAATCTAAAAATGACAACAGAGAGCAAGTACAATCCTACAAGATAGCGCGGACAGATAGAAAACATAGCACCTTTGTGCTATGTCTGTGTGGATGCCGTTTTGTCTATCTAAAAATGCTAGTTTTGAAGAGAGCGAGTACAATATTCTACATGTGGCTTCCTGCAGCTGGCATGTGCACAGGTATTAGTTCAGGCACCCTAGTCTGTAATTCCCTGCGTTCCGCCAAAAGTCTTCCAGTAATTACACGAAACAGGTCGTCTACTGTTCCCTTTACTAATGCTTCTTTTACATGTTCAGAATGCAAAATGCACATCAGGGCTCGAAGTACATGTACTATTTTCTGCATACCATTGAAAATTACACATGTACCTGCGCCAGACAAGTTTTACCTGCACCATTATGACTTTGAGAAGTATGGATCATACGAAAAACTGTTCAGAAACGATTGCCATTATTTCTTTTATAAGTGGTGACAGTCAATGCTGCAAAGAAAAACCCACATACACCTACATTTTGTATATAAGCACAGCCCCAATTTTACATGTACATGCACTATAATCTGCATATACCCAGTACATGGACCAGTGCAGGTTAGGTGCGGGTAGACATCAGAAATACCTGCACATGCAGCCAATACATTTTACAAGTACAATCATGTATTTCGAGCCCTGAAAAATTAATGCATTATGGTGGTGCTTTTCTTTTGACAGATTATTACAGCCCAGGCTTACCCGTCTTATCTACAAGAAGGACACTTGGAATAAATCTCCCTTTGAAGCCTACAGACATTCAAGGCTCTTCTTGGAAGATTGGTTGGGAAGAGGCAGAGGCTATCTTTACATGGTATAAATAATGATAAAGGCAGCACATTTTTTTCCGTAAATGATGGTTTTGGCCCCTTTCTGAGCAATTTTCCTGGAATAGGCTGGGCCCGTTCAAACATTTTTTCTGGGGAACGGCTCTTAAGGATGAGCCTTTTATGTCTCTTGGTTTATGTGTTACCCATCTAAAGCAATTTTTTCAGCACGCCCAGTTAGTGTTACAGCCCTTTATTTCTCTGAGTGTGTGTGTATCACGTGCCTAGTATTTGTATTCTAGTGGATCACTCCAGACCTCCAAAATATTTCATTTGGGAAAAGATGGTCTTGTCACTCAGTGTGTGAGTCATCCATCTAAATTGAATTTTCCTGGGACACACCGGATGTTTGTCACCCATTAAACAGTTTTCCTTAAGGGTTTCTCTGTGTCTCTCAGCATTTTTGTCACCCATCTAAACAAATTTTCCTGGAATATTTCTTAATGTGTTTCTCACCCATCAGAAGCAATTTTCCAGTAACAGCCCTTGTTACTTGTAAAGGATTTCCTCACTTAGTACGTTTGACACCCATCTAAAATTTTCCCGGAACATTCTTTCTGTGTTTGCCACCTTCTAAAGCAGTTTACTGGTAACAGCCCTTATAAACAATTTCTCCATGTCACTTAATCATCTAAACTTTTCCCTGAACGCTCTTCATGTGTTTGCCACCCATCTACTGTAAAGCACTTCCTGTTAACAGCCCTCAGGGCCTAGCACACTTGTGTCTGTCTGCACGTGTGTCACCTGCGATGGGATCCCTCGTGAGGCCCTGTTTTCCAGTAACAGCCCCTGTAAAGGGTTTCTCCATTGTCACTTAATCATCTAAAATTTTCCCTGAACACTCTCCATCTAAAGCACTTTCTGATAACAGCCCTTAGGGTTTATCACAGTGTCTGTGTGCACATGTGTCACCTGCGATGGGGTCCCCGGTGAGGGGCCAGTTTGCTGCAATTTTCCAGTAACAGCCCTTATAAAGGACTTCTCCATGTCACTTAATCATCTAAAATGTTTCCTGAAAACTCTCCATGTGTTTCCCACCCATCTAAAGCACTTCCTGTTAACAGCCCTCAGGGCTTAGCACACTCGTGTCTGCACGTGTGTCACCTGCGATGGGATCCCTCGTGAGGCCCTGTTTTCCAGTAACACTCCCCTGTAAAGGGCTTCTCCATTGTCACTTAATCATCTAAAATTTTCCTCGGACACTCTCCATCTAAAGCAGTTTTCCGCTAGCAGCCCTCAGGGCTCATCCCAGAGTGTCTGTGTGCACATGTGTCACCTGCGATGGGGTCCCTGGTGAGGCCCAGTTTGCTGATGATGTAGCGCGGGATGTCAGACGTGATGCCTTGGTTCTCTCTCGCCACGCCCTCTGCAGCCTCCAGGAGGTGGTAGAACTGCTCGGGATCAAACTCCTATGATTTGACAAATGTGTGGAGGTTCTTGTTAGAAAGAATGGCAGACCCAAGTGTCTGGATGGAAGCTCAGAGTGCAAACGTCTTGAAAATTGTCTCATTCATTGTGCTCTACAATAATGATACCAAAGGTTGTTGTTAAGTGTCTAACAGTCTGTCTCCAAAGACAATGGTATCATCAACCTTCAAGACAAATTAACAAGTAAACAAAAACAAATTTTCGCTGAACTCCAGTACCATTGACAAAAATGTAGTGGTTGTATCTTTCAGTGACTCTAATGTTCGGAAGACTTCATCTACTTGTTCATGTATCAAATCAAAGTCAAAATAGAAGCAGATATCTACATTTAAAGAGTCTATTTAAGAAGAAATCTTTACCAGGCATTCCAGCAGTCTGGCCGGTCTGGCGATGATCATGAGGAACTTCTTTATTAGGTTGACGATGTCGCCGGCAAATTCCGACCGCTCACGTGCCTGGAGAAGATGGCAACAACATTTAGTACATCATTCAAAGCCCATAGCTGTATTCTCATGACTAAAGGAGCCTCTATATATATTCTTGTGAGAAAATGATGTTAATGATACAAATGGTTTCAACCTACAACCTGGGTAAATAAAGAAGACATTAAAGTAAAGGTGACATTCAAAGTAAAGGTGGGATCTGACAATTCTCCAGTGTCACTGAAGAAAGATAGTGGATGCTACCTGAAACGTCTGACCATTTCCAAATCAGATCCAGTTGCTTGAGTAACTGCTTTTTGGTGTATCTTATTACCTGGATTTCTAACCTTCACCGACATGGTTAGATAACATTTAGTAACTGTCTGGATGGAATAGTGTGTCTAGGCACAATAGGCACTAAGGTAACAACCATGTAACATTTACCTCAGTAACGAGGCGGTACAACGATTTAATGACTTGGACAAAGGATGAGGGACTAATTATGCTATCTTCCCAGGAGAAAGTACAGTACTTTGAAATGCTGGGGCTTCGTAATGACTGTCAGGGTACTTGTCACGTTTCACACTCGCTCCTTGTCTATAGGAGTGGCTTTTTACACGAGGCACGTGGGTAAGTATGTCAAGAGGAGGGTCGTAAGTCTGTGTTCTTCTCAGCATCAAGCACTCTGTGATTCTCACGTGGAAGAATGAAAGCTGTCAACATGACACTTCAGCGTGTCATCGTATCAAGCCCTCGTAGGGAGCGTGAAAGGGAGTAAGGGGGCGAAATTGATGGCATAGAAATTGCGTAAGTGGACTGGAGACAGCAAATGAGTTAGCGTAGGTTTTGCTGACATATTTTGAAGAAGGTAACTTGCTTTGAAGGGAAAATGCATATCATACATGTAGACCTATTCCCCAAATACCATAAGATTGTGAAGAAGAATCTTGGTATAGGGCAATACCGGTACGCACTGCACAGAGCCACTGTTACATAATGTAACCTCTGCGTATGACATTGAACAGTAATTTTGTCTGACCCAGACCTCTTTCCACATGATGTCAATGAAATGCTATCAGGAGGCTGATTTGAGTATTTCGTGAACAAACAAAAGCTCAAACAAACAAACAAACAAACAAACAATAATCATTGTTGTACAGTAATTGTTCATCATTGGGCAATGTGGGCTATAGATTACACATAGATTAAAATACCACAATCGCGTTTCCCCAACCACACAAATACACCTTTCTCTTAGACAATAATCCAAATAATAATCTCACATCATTCATCAGTTTCTCCAAGTTTTCTGTCAGCTCGAAGAAGTACCGCCCTGTGATGAGCCCTTCCCGTGACTTCTGTAGACAGTCTCTCGCCAGCTCCAACACCTGGTGGTGAACAAAGCTGAACGTCCCGTCCGCATAGTTGTCGTTTTTGTCCGCGATCTGGTCTATGAATTCCTAATGAAACAAAATAAAGAGACCAGCTTTAAACACAGCATCCAATACCTGACCCTATCAGAGCAATATATTTTGCAATAACTTGAGGCGTACATGTATATCATAAATAGTTTGTTAACAGTGTTGCTCAATGCAATGTTGTTCCCTTGTGTTGTGTATATATGAATGATTATGCTGATCGTAAAACTTTTGCTTTTGATTTTAGCTTCTGTAGTAAAACAAATGTTAGAATATGTCTTTTAATGTTATGCAGTTAATTTCTGTACTATCACTTCATCAATTCAGCCTTTGGGCAGAAACATTTTGCAAAATAGTTGATGTCATAATAAACCATTCTATGTAATGCAATGCCAAATGACCACTTCTGGGCATTGAGCTAGGTGATACAACAAGATTATGACCCTGAATTTTATGACTCCTCATGAAGGATACGTGACTTCTTATTTTAAAACACTTGTCCTTGGCTACGATGTATTCACGGCTTGCCTTAGCATCTGTGTTCAACAGTTCCCCCGCTGCCAGTATCACAAGCTCATTTCACATGCAGAATTAATTGGTGATGGCATTACAGTGTATACTCCTTTGACGTTAACAGCTATTGCTTTATTTTGCACTGCATCTAAATATATTAATCACTGACAGGTTAATATAGATTGCTAAAATAAGCTTCTATGCCTGGTATAATCAGTGCGTGTTTAAAAGCATGACTAAGTGATTTGACAGGTACTGAAATGCCATCACACCACACATAACAGAAACAGCACTGTCCACGGTACTGAAATGCCATCTGATTCAGCCTTTAGCAGCCTAAAGTAGCCTTTTGGGTACCAATTCTTAGATTTTAAAACTTGAAAATCTTAGCCCTATAATTGCAGACTGGAGACGTAGGACACTTGTCATACATATTTTTATGGAAGGTACTGAACATCCATAAAATATGTTGTATGAAAATATGATTGTTCTACAGATTAAATTCTATTTTTTCATAGTAATCATACAATTAATTTTTTTGGTGTTTTATATTCTAGACCTTTGGATACAGATAGCCTGGAACCCAGTCGTGAAAGCTATAAAATCTACCTTCACTTTGTCAGAGTGGGGATAGATTGGCATAGGCAAAGCTTTCAAGACTGAATTCCAGGCTATCTGTATCCAAAGGTCTAGAATATAAAACACCAAAAAAATTAATTGTATGATTACTATGAAAAAATATTAATTTAATTTCAAGATGGCTGGGTAGCCCCATTCAGCTTTTCTGAGGTGGCCCAACATATTACAAGACATGGTCAAACAAAGGAAAACAACAGTATACATAAAAAACAAGCCCAAAAGCCTAAAGTACTAAAAAAATATCAGGAAAAATGAAAAGATGAGAGATTTTCTAACGCACCTTTAGCCGATCCTCCATCTGAGCAGTGGCCTTGGGGAAGCGCTCCTTGTAGTAACTGTTGATCATGAAGACATCACTGTCCCCACTCATGTTCGGGGACCGTCCAGGACTACTGCAGGGGGGAGGAGGGAGAAATTGTACACACTATTGGCATCAACTTCATCTTAAGAAATTCAAATTTTCTGTTAAACCATGATCCAATGAAGACCATTATCAGGCTACACATACTGTGACTGTATGGTCTATGTGATTTTTTAAACACCATGTAGGATACAATACCTTGAGTATTACACACAGGTTGTACCGCGAAAGCTTGTGAGTCTTGGCTAATGCCCTTATATAGGCTGCGAAGGCCTGCACAGTTTTTTGGCAGAAATCTATTAATTGTACATGTCAGCATGCAACTCTCGTGGGAACACAGCCAGTTTCTGACAACCTGACAGCATTTGAAAGCTGGGAATGGCACTTAAGATATCCTTCTGTGATTTTTTTCCAATCAGAATTATTCAGAGCCAAATGGTCTTGTTAAATAAATAGAAATGCTCATAACAGAATCATTATAAGTTACAAAGCACCTTAAATTATTGCCTCCTATATCAATGTTGATAAGACTTGACACTTTATTCAATAAAGCATGATTCAAGTTTACATAACAAGGCGTGGCATATTAAAAAAAACACCCATTCAGACACCTTAATTGCTTTAGATCTGCACATTTTTACAGAGTACCATCAACATTTTTATTTATCAAATGTTCAACGTCTTGAGAAAATGTGTCATCATTACTGACTTTATGGCGGGAAAAGTCTACAGTCACACAAAGATTTGACTTTGTGTAGTCGTCAAGTTTTAAAATGGAGAATGAATGACACAACATTTATACAAGGAATGTTCACCGCATGTTGAACAGTTCTTACCCAACTGGGCCAAGTACAACATGTCTTCATCCATACAGGGGTGGGAAAGCATAGCAACATGTAACAACATGATAGATAATGTGATTATCAGGAAGGACCAATGAGAGCACATGTGTTACAGGAAGTGTTTTGATAGAGAACTGTGATTGGCTGGCTTGTGTCAGACAAGGACCAATGAGAGCATGTGTTACAGGAAGTGTTTTGATAGAGCACTGTGATTGGCTGGCTTGTGTCAGACAAGGACCAATGAGAACACATGTGTCACAGTAAGCGTTTTGATAGAGCACTGTGATTGGCTGGCTTGTGTAAGACAAGGACCAATGAGAGCACATGTGTTACAGGAAGTGTTTTGATAGAGCACTGTGATTGGCTGGTTTGTGTCAGACAAGGACCAATGAGAGAACATGTGTTACAGGAAGTGTTTTGATAGAGCACTGTGATTGGCTGGCTTGTGTCAGACAAGGACCAATGAGAACACATGTGTTACAGTAAGCGTTTTGATAGAGCACTGTGATTGGCTGGCTGACAAGGACCAATGAGAGAACATGTGTTACAGGAAGTGTTTTGATAGAGCACTGTGATTGGCTGGCTTGTGTCAGACAAGGACCAATGAAAGCACATGTGTCACAGGAAGTGTTTTGATAGAGCACTGTGATTGGCTGGCTTGTGTCAGACAAGGACCAATGAAAGCACATGTGTCACAGTAAGCGTTTTGATAGAGCATTGTGATTGGCTGACTTGCATGTCTTACATGTTTATGATTGGCCTTGTGATAATGCTTTTATCAGACAAGGACCAATGAGAACATGTGTTACAGGAAGTGTTTTGACAGAAACATTGTGATTGGCTTAAGCTGGCTTGTGTGTCTTACCTGATTGTTCTTTCCCCTCTTGGGAAAGTGAACCAGTGTTTAGGAAAAGGGAAGCTGGCTGGGCCTGCTAGGCCGCCCCGCCCTACCAAACAACTGCTCGCATAGGACAGAACACAGAACAACAAGGACACAAATGTAGAGCATAAATTAAATGTAAAGAGGGTAAAAAACAATGACTGTGATAGCAACAAAAGCATGGATGAATGAGACAGCATATTTGCCCTACCAAGCAATGGCTTTCAGGCAAACTGAGCTCACAGCTACATGCAAGGTGATGACTTTGCAAGTGTGCACGAAAAGGTGGCTTGTGTAAGAACTTAGACTCGGGTAGTGACTGCAGAATGCAGAATACACACAAAACAAAGTTTAACAAACACAGGCATTGGCAACAAACAAGAAAAGCAAAGAAACAAGATGTAAACAATTACACCACAAAAATTATAAGTGCAAAGAAGAAGTACAACCTCAGTCTGTAATGTACATGTATGTATGATGAGAGAGAGGGCAGAGGGTTGTTGTTGTGGACAGGATTGATGTTTATAGACTGATGGAAATTCAAATTCTCTCCTTAAGCTTTTCATTGGTTGTGGACGCTTTCAAATTTACACTGTCATCGTAGCTCCATGCAGAGAGTCCTCACGAGAGTAAAAACAAAAACATTCTTCTGCTATTTTTACCCCATGATCTTCTACGATACTTTTAGTAATATTCCAAGGCTTTTCCATAAGGCGAGAAGGTTTGATGCTACGGTACTTGGGGAGCATTAGGAGCTAAAAAAAGGATATCACTCGACCTTAGAATTCTCCATTACTGACACGCACTTAACCTTGCTTTTTGTAACGGTGTTGTTCAATAATACAAAGCCAAATGACCACTTCCAGGCTACTGAAAATAACACTGAAAGTACCACTGAGCTAGGTGGTACGACAGATATACGATTATGGATCAAAAGATGGCAGTGGATGTTTATTTTGAAAGCTTGAGGACTGTATTCGTAGCCTGGGTTTGTAACAGCAACCCTGAAAAAATTGCCGTTACAAATCAGATGACACCCAGGCTACTGTATCTAAAGGGACGACAGAGTTTTGAGCCTCTGACAGTTTCTCGCGTCCGTGTACGTACCTGAGACTTCGTGAGCGAGGTCTCATGGCAGGCGACTTTCTGCCGTCCTCATCGGTGGTCCCGTTACTCTCGTTACTGCTGAAGTGTTTGGTGAGGAAGCGCAGCTCCTCTGCCGTGGGCTGGTACGGCAGCTGGTGGAGCTTCTCTTGGGACGAACAGGAAGACTGGAGATGTTGGAAGGAAAAAACTTTAATATTAGGATTAGGTACTACACAAAATGGTATTGTGCAGTAAGGTACATGTACAGGTACTGTAGAAGACAACCAGCAAGTCAGCAGAACGTACCAAAATCCAGAACAATGTAATGTGCATAGTACTTCTAAAGGAACATATAGTTTAAGGTAGTATAGAACAGTGTCTGAGGCCTTTTCGAATGTCTAGAAAATAAGCACTTTGTTGTGTTGTTGTATTTAAGGATGCCATCCCATCTGTAGTTTTCAAATGTTGTGTGGGAAAACATATCTTCTGCAAAGGACAAAATTCTGATCCAACAGAAACTTGGACAGTACATTCTGCTGACATGCTACTTAAAGTTACTGAGAAACATTAGTAAAATCCAGCTTCAAAATGGACACTCTTTCATTAATAAATACCAATCGCAACCAGGGGGTTATGAGAGGTATCACATAAACCCATCACTGCAATAAGTTACAAGTAGCTGTGAAAAAAATTCTGGCTTGACAGTAAAGCAAAAAATGGAAAATCACACACGTCACATAATCTGATGATAAACAACTTGATGAAAATGTAAAGGAAATGAAAAATTAGTAGACATGTCATCACAATGGTTATTGAAAGAGTGAGACGATATAACACTGAAATTAGTATTCATGAACATGATCTTAACAGTCCATGCATATGGAAGTGGGAAGCACAGGCAATGTCATACTGAAGAAAAATCGAAGCCTTCTAACTAAATCTGAGGTATCCCTGACACTGCACACAAAGAACAACAACATAAGGGGGCCTGTCTGCTGCAGTACAATCTGACTCAAGCAAAATGCTCCTTGCTACAAGAAAGGGACAAACCAGTAAGAATCACGAGGATGTGTTTGAATATAAATTTTATTTCTAGCCAATACTCTCTCTGTTTCAATGATTTAGTTCTGCCTTTTTTCTCACCTTTCGTACACAAATTGCATGTACTACAATGTATTCATGAATTATAGTTTCATCAAGTTGTCAAGTCACTATTGCAGCAACACCTGCAATGTGAACCAGTCAGAACTGCCCTGAGGAAAGTGACAGACAGTCACTGAAACGTCGGCTGAATAAATCTCTGACTTGTTTGTCTAAGAAGAATCTTTATTCAAATATGTATGCTTTTATAGTCCTGGAACAAGATTTTGTTTTGATTTTCACATCCTCATTCATGACTGTTCCTGGCTTGACCCTGAAGCAAAGCAGGGTCTCAGATGGTAATCAACTCTGACAGTCAGTAACTGCCACATACAGAGCAGCAGAAATGAAAGAGACAGCAGCTACTGGCAACTGCTGAAAATAGTTGATGTAGTGGGGAGTGGGGTGGGGCATATGACAAGCAATCGAACCTTTACTGACCTTACTTTAATTTTGTCTCTTTTCTTGTGTCAATTATTTTGCCTCCATTACCATTTTTGTAGCATAAAACTTTGTCGTAAAACACAGCCCTTCCAATGGTTAACTGTTAGGATAAATACTGAAACCCTGACTATACTAATCTTGTGTGCATCTTTAAATAGTAAAAGATGTACCCAGTAGCCTTTTAAATGTCAGGCAAAAACCACACTGCCATAAAATGACAGACTCGGCTCTCACATGCCCTTTTGGTTTCCCCCATCTTAAGTAGCATGAACTTTCATCAAGGCTGTGGCATTTTGACTGACAAACATTAATGAGAGCACTTGACAAAATTTTGTGTTCCATAGAAAAAAATGGGAGGAAAATTGCTGACCAGTATTTTTAAGTAGACAGAAAAAAGTTGACAGCGCCATACGTTATTGGAGACAACGGTATCACAACCAACAAAAAAACAAAATAGTGTGATGCACTTTGTCTTCATGGTAGCTAAATATGACTGTCTGAGGAATATAGACTTGTTCACGGAACTTAAAGTTAAACTACCATATCCTAAAGGCAGAAGAGGGGGCGCAAAAGACGAATGACTTGATAACAGCACAGCACAGAGATGGCCTTAAAACTCGCGAACATAAAGGTACTGCGAAAAAAAAAAAGGAATTGCAGTACCAAGCAGTAAAAAAAAGCGGCGCAAGTGGATGGAAAAACGTGCTGCAGAAATATCACAGGCCCCCCTCCCCCCCAACAGTTGAGAACTGGTGAGGTTATGTACCAGTAGTGCATGTGGGGACTCCTGTTCCACAATGGACGAACTTGGAGAGTCCGTAGACGAAACACCCGTGTGCTACAGGGAGGAGAGGAAAGTCATGTAACGGCCAGGTTTCCTCAAGGTACCATTCTACAACAGGGCTCGAAATACTGGGTGCATGTGCACCCAATTTTTATCTGTGGGTGCACCAGTGCAGCCAAATATTTTTGTAGGTTTACGTAATGTAAACATACACCGCATATTCTTGACATCTACATGTAAGTGTCAGAAAAATAATAAAACATTTGTTGTAGTACTCTTGTAGTAGTAAAAATTTTGAACTTAGGTCCCATTTTACATTCAAGTTCAGAAGAGGAACAGTTAAATTTGTAATTAGCTCACACACACAAAATACAGTAGAGTATTTTGTGTGGTGCACTTGAAAATTTTTTTGGGTGCATCAGTGCAACTATTCACAAAAATGAATTTCGAGCCCTGTACACTTAGATGAAAAAAAAAACATTCAACGCTTCAAACATACAGGTGTGCCTTTTAAACTGCAGGCTGTTAGTAGGCAGACAACAATCATCATGTGTGAAACTTAGATCATACGATATATACAGACTGACAGGCGAGGAGTAAGAGTGCAATTAGGGTGACATTACAGGCATACGGTCGGGTAGGTTTTGTTGCAAGCACTGGATGCACAAAGGGATGACGTTAAGCTTGAAAGACAATCTACGATTGAGGCAGTTATTTATGTATGACCAGAACAGGGTTCGACAAAGCAGGTAGAAAAATACATAATAATTATAGCTTTACACAACACCAAAACTACATTCCTTTATAAGCAGCTTTCTTAACTATAAAATGTCACATAAAAATAGCATTTAGAATTCTATATATCCTTAGACAAAAATGACGGTAAATGTGCAGGCTTTTTAATCTGCTGGAACCTTAAATGCCACAGCATTTTTGGACTATAAATAACAAAATGGCATTTAAAAATTGTATCATTAAGACAGAAAATGACAGAAAGGCAGAAGCCTCTATCACTAAAACAAAATTCTATCCTAAAACAGAAAATGACAGAAATGCGCAGGCTTGTATCTGCTGGAAATGAACGTTACTCACAGAGACTGCAGAGCTCGGTGTGTTGGTTCCGTACCCAGACGACGGTAATGATGCGACTGACCACCTCCGACCCTCCATCCTGCAAATACAATGTTCCATGGTCACTATCAATGGTGTACAACAGTCCTGATTCTTGATAAAATGCTGTGCAATACCCCTCTGTCGGGGTAAGACGCTCTGCGTAGTTACTGTTTCCTCAGTAGTAGGAATACGGCTTCCTTGAAGTCGTCAGGTTCGGTGATTTCAGTTATGTCCCGAGGAAGCGCGTTCCAGTCTCTGACTGAAAATAGGAGTATCTGTAGTAGTCTTTACGGTGACGGGATTCAATCCAAAAGAAGCCTGGGCAACTGTCTCCTCAATACAAATCTTGCCACAGTCGTGCAGGCAGATAGGAGTAAGGACACTATGCTGAGCCTTGGCGTCTAAGGCTTTATAGTGACTGAATGGATGAGCGCATCAGTGACACTCTCTCTTATAGGACACCAGTGCATACTTGTTGCTACTCTCGATAATACATGTAGCACTCCAAACCCTCTCATTTGAGCCACTCCATTTACCGCGGGGAGAGAAGGCTCTGTTGCACGTGCCGTCAGAATGCATGTTTTCTGGCTGAGAGGGTAGAGCAGCTTTGAGCGCACCACTACACATCACTACCTAACCTTGAGTTACCTGTCCCTTGAACTCGTCCGCTAAGAATTAGGCCTAGGAAACAACATGTTGCGTTTCCGTTTTCCTGATCCACCCTAGCAAAAACCCGCTGACCCTAGCCTTAACCTTTTATTTTGATTGACTGCTGGTATGGCTATTTAAGTTTTTTTCTAACGTCTGAATGCCAAATGCTCTGAATATTCACAAGCATTTTTTCCAGTGAATCGGGTGAAATATTTGTCTACAAGAAAACAGGTAGATGGGTCCTTGAGACAGTCCCAATGCATTGCTTCAATAACTTTATTTCTTGGATCATTTTAGCCAAAATCTACAAAAACAAAACAAAACAACTATCCTTTCCTAATCACCCTAGTTTTTTCAGGACTGATACAGGAAACACAACATTAATTTTCCTAGGCCTTATGCAGATAGTTAGGCAATTGGTGGATGTAGCTAGAAGTTGGAGATTATTGTCTTCTGGGTGATCCCACATGTGCACTTCCTGTCTATAATTGCATCTCTGACAAAAACACATTTTGAGTGTCTCGTTGAAGTTAATCCAACAGTGTTTAATAAGGAGGAAGTATGTCTAGAAATAGTAAGAACTAATCAGTTATCGAGGTTAATTGTATAGAATTAATATTTCCTTCCTTCCTTCGTCTCACAACTTTATATAATTAGTAAATTTACTATTTTTAACATATTCTGTTTGTCCTTGGTGCTGAATTGACATCCGTTGAATATTCTTTGTTAAAAAATTACAATAATAAATAGAAAATATAATTACTTTCTTCCTCTTACAACTTCATCTGATCTGCAAATTGATACCTCCTACATTTTTCCTGCCTGTCCTTAGTACTGAAATGCTATCCATTGAATTTTCTTTGTTTCACAAACATCTAAATGCCAGAACTCATGCCATTATCTTGTATCCTCAAATTTGCTATTCATTTTGTTTCCGCATTCATTTTTTGGCAAATACAATTCATTTAGCTCGATTGCTGACTTGGCTCGTTTCTCAATGCTGATTGGCTGCCTCTGTCAACCTTTCTCCCAAATAAGGTTACCAGACAGGAAACGGCTCTGCGTGTTGATTGGCTGATGAAAAATTCAAACGGCACTGACCTTTTGACTGAGGAGAAGACAAAATGGCTGTGGGTACTTGGGGAGACATTTCTCGGACTATCCGCTGGGCTGCCTCCTGCGAAAACAAATGTATACATTTTACAAAATATTGAAGCAATGATCCTGGAAAAGAATAAACTAAAAATCTAAAAGGGCTACCATAAGACTTAGTGATCAAATGTGTATAATACATCATTCAACAAAAGAGTGCATACTAAATAATATACACAAGAAATATACAAGAATTTTTCTCACAAACCCAAACTATAGCAGACATAGTTTATTTAAAAAGTGAACATATAGAAGGTATTGCCCCTTTGATGGCACATAATGGTACTGTTAGGAGCTACACATATACATGTACATTGTTTGCATCAAATATTTAGTTAGGCCAGGAAAAAAGAAACCAACAAACAACTGTTACAGAATAACACTACCGAGAATCCCAACCTAAAATTGTGAACTTGTTTTTCAAGGTTTAGAAAGAAGGTCTCTAGAAGACATTGGTCTACTTTTCAGTCCAAGATGTAAACAACAAGGACTTCTTAGAACATGGATATTCCGCTAGAAAATACCTTGTTGACACAGAAAGACGTAATGGGGTGGTTTGTGAGAGCTTAGAACGTGGTGTGAAGTCACCGTGACATGGTTAGAAGGGCAAGGCGCCCTGTTTTTCAGTTTAAAATAAGACCAGGGTCTTTACAAAATCAACACCACAGTGACAGTTAAATTTACAGTGTCAACATTGGCAGTTTGTTGCTTTTTGTTTTTCGGTCACAGGCCTATTTGCAAGAATGGACAACACAAACTGTCAGCAAAATGTCCTGTATTTCTAGCCTCTAACATTACATAAATCCACATACATGTATCCTGTTACAATGTGCTCCTTTGATGCTGACAGAAGAGTCTATCACAGTATTTATAGACGCTTGTTTCACATTTGAATATTAAATTTTGTTATCAGATATTTACGCTGGTTTATGTTTTTGTATCTTCTTTACTTTGAGGTACTAAATCATACAATTAGATTTCTCAGCTAACCTCAAGTAGGGTATTCTAGGAACCCATCCCCCAATTCCACAGGGCACAGTGTATTTAGTAGGAAGGTAATCAATTTGGTTTAGACAACTGGTAGCACTGTCTATGCAATGAAACTAAATTTGGCTGTGATATGTCAAAACAAATGACTGTGGTTTGCTTACATTTTGAATACTACTCCGACTAAAGATCTGTATCGCAAGGCATGTTATCTTCTTATACAATCATGTACGCAATCATACGTTGTATCTTACCTTTTAACATGTATCTGACCACAACATCTTTTAGCATAACAGATGGCATTGCATGACAGATTTTTCCTCACAACCTCCAATTCTTCATTCTGGTTTTGTTGCATGACCCCTAACTTATAATATAGTCTTTGTATTATTCATTTTGATATTTTGTATCACATGTAAAATATGATTCAAACTCATCATTCCTTATTACGACCCAGAATGATCTTTCGTCAGCCGTGGTCCTAATTCCTTTCCCGACAAACCAGATCAGTTTCCTGACGTCTGTCTTTCCATTATTCATTTTGATATTTTGTATCACATGTAACACATGACCCAAACTCAACATTCCTTATTACGATCTTTCGTCAGCCGTGGTCCTAATTCCTTTCCCGACATACTAGATCAGTTCCCTGACGTCTGTGGAGACAATCTCGTCATTCTACATCTAATATTTATGACTCATCGGAGCCGCGGACTGGATGACATCATCCCAGACCATAACCTAATCCCAAGGTCGCCAGTCGTCTCCGGAATAACATTAAACCAGCTTGAATCAATAGGCAGCAACCTGAATGGTAATACTCCAAATTAGATGCCGTTTTCCCCTAAGATGTTATCGGTAAGAGGAGGTTGCGACCTCTTGTTTTTGGAAAATTGAAAAGGGAGGATTTAAAAAAGAATTACAAAAATACATCCAAAAGACATTCAGCAAGTCAGCCAGAAACCTGAATGGTAATTCTCCAAATTAGATGCCGCTTTTCCCCTAAGATGTTATCGGTAAGAGGGGGGTTATGACCCTACACAGGCCTTGTTTTTGGGAATTGAAATGGGATTCTAAGATTTGAAAAATGACAAAAACATTGCCAAAAAACAGCCAGCAAAAAACAGCCAGCAACTTGAATGGTAAGACTCCAAATCAGATGCTGTTTTTCCCTAAGATGTTATCGGAAAGGAGATAGAGGTTGTGACCCCTTGTTTTGGAAAATTGAAACGGGAGGATTTGAAAAATGGCGATAGTACAGATAAAACGTATTCCTAAACGTGCCACTCATCCCAATTTAACAGATAGACAGTTGGAGCAAAAATTGGAATTCCAATATGGGTGACCTAGTGCATGGTGGCCCATTCCTCCCATTCATTCTATGATTGAATATTTTCTGTCTGGCATAGGTCATCACACTAACATTTCTAACACAGCTTCTACTTTCAGTTCTCTACAAATGTCAAAAACCATTTGGCCCAAAGCTTCAACTTCATACATTTGTAACAATATGAAACTCAACAGTCTATGACTTACATGTATGAATCTATGATAGATCCTTACGCCATATAAGAGCCGGTACTATGACAGTGTTTACATATCCTACTATCTCACAGCATGTGTAAACAGGACGATGTTTGCGCAACATTTTACATGTAGCTCTCCCAGGTAATGTGTAGTTAATGGGCCCTATTGAGAGTGTATGCCACCCACTCCATGCTGTTTATTCTCTCTTACATGTATCATCAGTACCATTCTTTTCTTCAGGATGTATCATATTGATCATACAATGCCCTTAAGCATCATCCTTACTTTGATGGCCACATTTGTTATAGCTTTGAGGCCAACCGCTATGACATTATACATGTGTGTGGGTTTCATTTTAAACCACGAGTGTATACTAGTACGTGGGCGATGATCTATTGCATTGTGGTATGATAGAAGCAGTCCCAGAGATCTGTTTACCTCTTCCAAGGAGCTTCAACAAGATATACTAAATGTCCTTGCCTCTTCTGAGATAATTCTGAGGAATTGCTGTGCATTCTTCCAACACACAAGGCTTTCTCTTGTTCGAGACTCGCACACAAATAATGCCCAATTTTGTTGTTGCCAAACACTGAGACAAATTTGTTTCTCCAGACAAAAACAAATAATAATTCTTTAGAGTGAAATCATGTTTATTAAACAACCTACTGTAGCTGCAAAGGTCAATGTACTTTTGGACATTTTTGTTTTACACTGCTTGAAATAAAGCAAGTGTTACCAAGCAAGTCTTTTAAGAAATCATAATAGCCAACTGATGTTGTGCAAGGGACCACTAATGAAAAAAAAAGTGAAAAACATAAAGGAGTATATTTGCTTTGAGAGTTAATTTGTTCTTCCCATGGCCAATTATCTTAGACTGGAAGGACCTGACGTCAGTATATTGTCTTGACGTAATCTAATAAAGTGTAGACTTACAATGTTACATTCAAAGGCATATACATGCTCTCTGCATGCAGAGTGCTCAAGGCAAAACATAATAGATAGTTTCTGCGTGATTTCATACATCAAGTCAGATTTTACCTTTGAAACCTTGTACAAAGATACGGCATTAATTTATTTGATCTTTGTTTTGTACTTCCTAAGTAACAGTCTTCCTCATATGCTAATTATTAAGATCCTGCAGTGCTTGACGTCACATCCACAGTTGTGTGCGTGAATCAGATCTCCATTTATCTTAACTCCAAATTGTTAAAAACATATCAGAGTAACTGTTGATTCACATGTAAAGTGTAACATGTATTGTGTCTATTTTGTTCATTTTAGTGAATGTTATTCAATTCTTGCAGTCTACACATTTTACAGTGGACTTTAGCATGATCATATCTTTGCTCCAAAGCTTAGCAACCTTAACTCTTTGTATACAAATTTAGTTGCAGTATGAGAGTGGAAGTATGCTGTTACTTAAGGTTAGCCTGGTATCCACCCCTCTAGTCTGTTAGCAGCTAGCTATAGGGTAGCAACCAGTGAGAAGGTGGGCAAAAAAACAGGACCTGGTATAGTTGGGTGATTTTCCTACCCACAATTTGCATAAGCCTGGCACCAATAATTGATATCAACACACACAGCAATTTCTTATATTAGAGCACACTATAGCTTATATTGGAATGGCAATGGTTGCGAGAAGGTACGTGTATGTACATGTATGTGGGCTTAAAAAATACCACAGAAGCAAACAGTGGTAGCTATAGATTCTGAATTAGATTACTCCATGGGCAGAGAGAGAAGACAGTCCACCCTGGGAAATCTCCTGACAGCTATCCCGGCTTCAGTGAATCGTGATTTGCCTCTTACATGTAATCAAGCCCAGCATATTGGGTCCAATTAGAATGGATCTATCCCTCGACCGTATCTGGACTGTAAAAACTAGATTACTACAGAAAAACTTTTAATAATGCCTCGCATTTGGGGAAAATTACGACTGCCATTCGGGTGCCAAATTTGATTTGGAAGCTCAGAGGCAAATACTGTTTGGAAGGTTGTATTCTTGAAGCTTTCAAGGGGTTTTAGAAACCTGCAATTTGAAGACACAAGGCTCATCCTAATTCTTGATGGATTGGTAGCTACAGTGTACCAAGATTAGGTTGTCTGAGTAATATTTGTCCGTCATGTTAAATGGTATTTGCTCATGCATGTTATGCATGATGTGTTTGTGTCTCTTGGTGCAGTGACATTATGGCCTTACCAACTGCTAGATACTAGACTTAGCAGAGCATTTACAAATGCTTTGTAACCACATACAAATCATACACACATAGATGTATATCTAACAGAGTGTCAGGACTAAAAGCCATTAAGGTCAGACTATATGTAGTAGGACTTATAATCAGCCTGTGGTCCTACATATAGGAGAGCTTAAACCATACGTATATTTTGTTGAATATACACTCCGATACTTGAATTGTACAGCGGTTACCTGACAAAACTATAGTGTTATGAAGAGACACCTTTGAACAGGTATAATGCAACATTTATATCAATATGATACAGTCTTTCATACAGTTGACCTAAATGTATGTCAGCACATGGGGATAGAATTTTTCATCACATGTGTAGGCGTGATCTTTTGAAATATTAGATTAGACTATACAGTAGCAAAGCATGTTGCTTCAAGGGTTCTGACACACACCGAACCAAAAGAAATGCCAAGTAACAAATCACGATGCAGAGACTCATAGAAAGACGGTGTACGTGAAAGGTCTAAGGGAAGATATATGTGAAACAATGGCTTACACTACGTAAGTTACAGTATCAAGTGTGGCCGGTAAATCTTATTGGATGAATTATTCAAAGAAGAAATGGCAAACGAAAGGGCAACTCACCGTGAGGGATTGGAGAATGCGCTCTTGGCAGCGTCGGTGAGGTGTTGGGCAGAAGACCTTTCCTCCCGCGACCGCAGCTGTGCAGGAAGGAGAGACAACGGTAAGTGGGGCTTGTGGGTACGGTGAGTTCGGCGTAGCTCTTGTGAAGGCTGCTGGACAGGTGGGATATGGGAACGTCCGATCCCGACCCGACCGTGTGCGTCACGTCGAAGGTGAAAATCCTGGGACTGCTGGAGCGGGGTGGGGGGGTTTTCCTGGGCGGAGGGGGGGTTCTGCCCTTTACTGCGGCTGCAGCAGGTGCCATGGTGTCGTGTGACGGTGCCTTGGGGCGGGTGGCAGGTGGCTTGTCCAACTTTGCTGCCTCTGCCATGCCGGGTGGGAGTGTGCCGCATCTGTTCCAATCTCACACATGTATAGACACAACCTTTGAACTTCAGATCACACAGCCCTCAGCTTGAGCCAGGGCGGGCTGCGAAGCAGGCAATCACATGTTCTCGACCGAGTTCCATCACATACGAAGGTATAAGGCTACTAGGACAGGGCATGTTGCCTCTTCAGCTGGCTGTAATGGTACCACACACAGGGCACACTCCCCACGTTGTATTTGCACCCTTCCCCCATTCTGGGGAGGCCCAGGCCCACCAGTCCAGAGGAATTACATGAGCACTTTCGCACTCACAATACAAACATTATGGGCACAAAAATCAATATGAGGGAAGGCGATGAGGTAAGGCCAGCCAGCCTGCGGACCAATCAGCCAGCGGAACGTTCCATTGGAATATGTCGGGGGACGACAATAATCCCTCTGTACTTCCAGTCTAACTGGTTATGCATTTCTGTCAATTTGATTTACTAGGAGGGACAGCCCTTGTAAAATTCGTACGGACAAGCTTGCTATGGAGGTTTTGCAGGGATTGTAACAACCCTTTCCCGCCCTATTTATTCACTGGGTGGTTCGTTCCACCACATAACATGAGATCCATGCATCCCAGAGCGTCTGACTGCTGCACTGGCTTCCCGGCAACCTCTAAATTTGGCCAGCGGAAGCAAATGTTGACCCGCACTGATCGGAAATCCAGTTCCGCCTTACGAGTAAACCTTGTTTGTAACGATTAACCGCAGAAGAGGGGGGGGGTCCTTAAACCGAGATAGCGGCACTGCAAGGACGTGCTCTGAGCAAGGTTATATTTTATGAAGTTCAATGCTAAATATCAATCAAGTTGAACCTGTGCCACCAATTTGTACATAAGTTATCACGCAATCGTGATCTCATTGAAAATACATTACTTATAAAGAAAAGTCACTATGTGAGCATTATTTCGTAGATGGAATTCAATATAGAAGTCGTGAAAGGCTAATTTGGGTGAACTATATAATACATAACTGAATGTTGTACGTGCAGCTGCACTATTCTGAAATGTCTCGGTTCAACAAATTTTCAAAGAACTGGTCTAATCTAAAATCAATTGATAGACCACGTACTTTGGCTAATATTTAACAGCTAATGTCTACTTATATTTATGAAATTGGTAAAAAAAACACCCATAAATTTCTGCAAATGGACTATGGACAGGTGTTTACTGTATATGAAAACTTTTGAACGGAGGGCATGTGCGTGTCAATCACTGGGATGCATCTTTCAAAAGATATTTACTGTACACTAAGTCTCCTAAATCAGGCCCTGGGGACCAGTCCTCTGTGGTAGGTTTTGTCAACAGTACTGTGCCTGGAGGCAGTTCCGTACCCATGTGGTCCAGAAGCCACAGGATTAGCACAGCTACGTGACAATCTCGTAATACAGGTCTGCTTACCCAGGTACAATGTAAGACCCTACTGTGAAATACTGGAAATTCATTCATTTTCGAGGGCACTCAATTGCAATTTTGCAATAGGAGGGAAAAGGAGGTTCTTGCATTTTTTTTAGGTTTTCCTGGTTGAAAGAATTCTGTATAGTAATTGTATTCTGTATTTGTATTCTGTACAGTTGTACAGGCATATTTATTTGGTGATCTGATTTTATAGTACTAGACTGTAGAGGATCATCATGAATACAGCGAAAATAAAACCAATCTTTCAAAATTAACGCTGTACTTCTAATTTTACTGTGTATTGGTCCCCTGAAGGCCAATTGGAGTTGTACAATCATAGTTGGCTGTAGGATTTGAGGCCATGCAGCACTCTCCAAGTTCCAGGGTAAGCATGCTTGTCATGGTCAACATGTCTTAGCTATGCCCAAGGAAACCTGCCTGGCCAAAATTGGTCACCTAAGAGGTCAGTCTGACCTTTTCCAAGGCTCTGGCCACAACGATTTATTTCTTTGTTTCTCAGATGTTTACAAGTGAAAAATAAAATACAGGGCTGGGAGGAAAACTCAAACTTTCAGGAAATCCTTCTTTTCATTCTTAATTTTAATCTAATGAGCAACAGACTAATTTGGTGTAACCAACTGTTCAGAAATAAGGGCACTTATTAGTTATATTCAGCCCCAGGAAGGTGAATACATAATTGAAGGACAGCAATAAAATCTTTTACAACCATTGCTGACATTTTTGTGTGGTACTGTTACAAAGTGTATGCATAACCCCTCGCTATAAAATAAAATTATGAGCTACAGTTTCAGCCAAAATGTCTGCCAACAATCCGTAGACTTTAATTTGAATCTTGTTTAGCTGTCTGCCAAAAATCCGTAAGACTTTTGAATCCTGTACAAGTTAGAGGATCTTTGTGCATCGCTTGCTGAGAATAAAAGCCATTACAGGTGTTCCTTGAACCCTACTTGAGATATTCTCACATAAAATCTATTACAAGCACTGCTGAAATGTTTGTATGGTACTGTTACAAACTGTGTGCATAACCCTTGCTGTAAAATAAAATTACGAGCCACAAATTTTCAGTCAATCTGTCTGCCAACAATCCGTAATACTTTTGAATCTTGACAATATTCCCCTTATTTCCTTGAACAGGTCTGGGTACAGATCATTAGTCTTTCTCTTGAATCGTGACCCAATGTCTTCAGTTCACGGGTGGTTTTATAGTGCAAGATCAAAACAGAATTTGCGTTTTGTCATGCACAAGTTAGAGAATCTTCATGCTTCTTATCTAGCTGAGTGTAAAAGCCATTACAGGTGTTCCTTGAACCCTTATTGAGAGATTGTCACATCAAATCTGTTACAAGCACTGCTTCAGTTTCAGCCAAACTGTCTGCCAAACATCCTTAATACTTTAATTTGAATCTTGTTGAGTTAGAGGATCTTTGTGCTTCACTTGCTGAGAATAAAAGCCATTGCAGAAGCCATTACAGGTGTTCCTTGAACCCTTCTTGCGAGATTCTCACATAAAATCTGTTACCAGCTACAAATCTTCAGTTTCAGCCAAACTGTCTGCCAAACATCCTTAATACTTTAATTTGAATCTTGTAGAGTTAGAGGATCTTTGTGCATCCCCAGCTGAGTGTAAAAGCCATTACAGGTGTTCCTTGAACCCTTCTTGAGACATTCTCACATTAGTAAGAGGATATGGGTGACTTCTCCTTGACCTGCCTTCCCAGGGGGCCTCATCACTCAGTAGGAGGTGCGTATCAGATCACCGCTCTACTGTCATCCCTGTCACCCTTAACTTTGCTTCATTTCATTTTGGAATATCCTCTCATCCAAGAAATTGGTTACACTTTTCAGATAATACTCAGCATTTTGGCTCTTTTGTACTGTATGAATACAATAATGTGATATGAATTAAATACAAATTTTGTAAGTATGTTTATTTTTATGTTTATTAAAATTTACCACATTTGTGGAAGGATTGACATGACAGGCGACTATTACCTGTACAAGATGTCAACCCTGAGATCAGACTGTATAAAAGGCTTAAACCACTCGCACCAGGAAGGACCACACTCTTATTAGTCTCTAAATGAAGCTAAGTAATCATTTTCCCCTGAGTCGAGGAGGAAATAGGTGTGTGTAAATTGCCTTTCGGAATGGCACAACACTTACCAGGGGCCTGCCAAGGGATTGAAATCTTTCGTGCCTTTAACCCTTCAACAACCCTAACCATAAGACCTCCTTGCCAACTTTGGGTGTTGGCATACAGAATTTAGCGGAAACAATTGCCATTGAATCAGAATTTTGAATTTAAATCAATACAGCAAACTGCGACAAATTTTGTAATCAGAAGAAGACTTTGAGTCTGTGACTGTAGATTATGATGCATCAGACTTAATTATGAATGATGACATCATTTACAATCATTACGTCTCTAAGTCTGTTGTAATAACAATTTAGTTCATCCTGTCTCTCTGTTAGTGAGCAAGTTTTTTTTTCAACATCTCTCCTACAAGTTTCAGTGATGACACTTGTGTGTTGTAAGGACAATACATCATAACAACTGCAGGTGGTTCTGAAGCAATAAGAGAGTCAATTATGAAAGCTGCAGGGTGTCTGGATTTGTTGCCTTCATTAGTACTGTAGAGAAGCCACCAGAGCATCAGACCCTAAAATGGAACCCTCTAAAAACTGGATATTTTACTTTACTGAGTTTAGTCTTTTTGATGTTTTTAAACAATGCTTGCAAGTTGGAAAGGTTAGATGTGACAGGTCATTTCGGGTAATAATAGCCATGCTGCTGCCGTGCTGTGTGCATGCAAAGCTGGTGTGTTATGCGAGGGGTGGTTATACCAGCTTTACAGATACAGATGTTTGTGTATCTGTTTGTCAGCATGAGATTTCCAGTATACACATGGCGGCATTAGACTGTATTGTCATACATGATCAGTGCTGCTATTTCGGTCTGTGGGAATAGGAGGGATGCAAAGCAGTATGGGTAAGGGAATGAGGTCTGCCATCTCTTGTTGAATGTTGCCAAACACGGCTGTGACAGTCCCACATTCCGTCCTGCTTACAACATACATGTACATCATCATTTGCTACATGTATGTCGTCTGTCACGAAAACAACGTGATCATTTAATAAAAAGAAAGAGAGCACACAAATTGGCCGTCAGATTCAATCAAACTTGAAGAAATTCTACCATCTTGTTACGAGGGCTATCACTCGTAATCAAAGATATCCATAAAATGTGCCACCGGTGCCAGCCCATGGTAGGCGCGTGGCTCCCAAATGTTCATCGCGTTGCCAACTGGAATATATATAGCCTACTTTCCAGGAAGAACTCAGAGGCTAGGTCATAGTTTCCAGGTAGAATATCCTCCTTATTTGGGCATTGATGTTGACTTTATAGCTGCTTGGATGAGTCATCAAAGTGAGGGGTATAACCCTGGAAAAAAAATTTGTCTGATGGCGCTTGTTTTAGGCAAAGCATTTTTGTGCAGGTAATGCTAGTGTGCAATACAATAATCATATTTATGGCCAATTCAGAAATGAGCCTACATGTACGTTCGGTATAATATACCTACATGTAGCTGGCACACTGCCGTGTGCCTGCAAAGCTGGGGTGTTATAGGTGTGTTATGCTGAAGGGTGGTTATACCAGCTACAATGTATATCCACGATACAGATGAAGGCAGAGATTTTCTGCTATGACAGTTTTTTTTGTTTCAACAGAATTCAGCAGTGTTTATTATTTCATGAATAGGCAAGACACAATTAGAAATGCATTTCTTGTCACAATATTATTGTGAAATAAGCATGCGCCAATAACACCTAATATCTGAATTTGTAATGAGCGATGTGAAAAATTGAAACGTGATATGCCGCAAGTGTCTTCTCAGAGTGGTGACCTATATAAGATGATTTATGGACAAGTAGTTTTGATATTTGCTTGTTAGCTACATTGACATGCAGGCCCCACGGGACCTAACCTTCCATAACCTCTCCACCACTCTTTTGCATGAGGCAAATGACATACTGTAAGTGCACTAATTTTTGCTGGATCGTTGCAATTGTTTGCTGGCAGGAAAGATTTTTGTGGTAAACAATTCTGCAGTATAGTGGTATCACAAATGCACTGTTGTGGTGTTTATGAACTCATTGTTGAAAGCTCATTGCAAAAATTGTAAAAATAAAACCACTGCGAAAATGTTAGAATTTGCAGTAGTTAAAGGGATTGGGATTCACATACACTGGGTCCAATTTACACTGAAAAGGTTGGTCAGCATAACAAGAGTTTTAATACACTTAAAAGACCACGGTTAAAGTGAAGAAGAAGAGCATAACAACAATTCAAGAGATAGCAAATAGTCTAGACACATAATGTACAAAATATCCATGAAACAATGAATTATGTTCAAACCAAAACGAAACAGTTTGTTTTTCCTAGAATAGCCATCACACATGATTGATATATTAATATATCATAGACTTTTAAAACATAACAGTAGGTGTTGTCTTATTGACACAAAATGGTTATGCTGATGGTATAAAAGTTAATTAATGGTTAGCTCACCTGCTCCCTCGTCTTGACATGGTTAAGTCCTTCTGCAACAACAAAACAAAAAATACATTTCAGTTTTAATGATGAGGCTATTTTGCATAATTCACATTCTGTGATTGCAGAACTTGTAAATTATTTACATTTTTTCACTTCCACAAGTATGGAAGTACTGTGTTGGGTGGCTTAGCTTTGGCTTTTTGCATCTATTTGTCCATACAGAATAGGTTGACAGCACAAGGGTTGGGAATATTGACAGGCAGATTGACAGGTCAGAAGGTCAAGTTTCTGGAAATGGGGTGAACTTGAAGGTCTCTGAATCTAGCAGGAATTAGGAGTTGACATGGAGGGGGGGTTCAGGAACCAGAGGATTACAAAGAAATATCCATCAGTGTTTCTGTTTTGACATACACCATTTTGTTACCTTGAACTTCAAGGGTATTGTCAGCATTTGGAATTATTCCAGGAACTGTTGGTGACATTGATTCCATTATGACTATTGTCGTACCACATCAATTTGAGCACTCAGATGCCAAAACAAGGCCTGCCTCCATTCCCCCTACAGGACGGCACATCAACAATCCAGTCATTTGTACTGCTGTGTCTTTCCTGTTATTCCCAACTGCCAGAAAGGGAAAAAGCCTATAATCTTTCAATTGGTAATTGCCCACCCATGATTCGAATGCTGTCTGAGGGAAGATTACTCGACGTTGCCAGCAGACTGTGAAACAATTCTCCCGGTACACAAATCACCGCCGGCTAGGCACCGGAATGCAGATGAGGGGAGAAAAAGTCAATTTCTGCGTCCCGATGCTCCCCTAGGCGCCGTAATTCTCGGAACAGATCGACGGAACGCCGGCGGCTACACCGCGTAACGTCTTGTCTTAACCGTTGCGATGTTTAAAGCTTGAGCAGGTTTGGGAATCCAATTTTCCAGCTGCCTTGTGCTGAGCATTAATTTTTCGACGGGTTTGGAGATGGGTATCGTATGTAATTTGCTCTGGTTCCTGGGACGAGGGTGATGATGTTATTTAGAATGGGACAGCATACATAATTACTGCATGTACTGGTATGTCAATGATGGAAAAGAGGGTGCTGATTGTATCTTTTATACCCCTATAGCTATGTTCGGCCACCAATGTTATGTTGCAAGAACACTAACCCTAACCTGGTGTTGGAACATAGGGCTTTGCCCTGTAATGTAAACCTTTGCAACCAAAAAACAGTTACTCTGCAACTGGATATGATTTTGGAAAATTGTCAGATGTTTCAGGTAGCATCCACTACCTTTCATCAGTGACACTACCTTTCATCAGTGTCACTGACGTAATGCTACTGAAACATCTGACCGTTTCCAAAATCATATCAAGTTGCTTGAGTAACTGTTTTTAGGCAAACCTCTACTTACCATGCTGGATGCGAGTGATGGTGCTGACTGCCCCAGCACCTGTGTTCTCATGCGCAGGAGGTTGGACGACTCGCCTAGGTAGTGTCCGCTGCCGTGGTGCGGAACGGTCAGACCTCGCTCTAGCCCCAGATGCTGGACCGGCACGCCTCCCAGGCTGTCCCTGCGGCCGCGGGGAGACCGCGCATCGTCCGAGGAGAGCTGGCGCGCTAACTTGAAGTTCCTGGGGAGGGTGCTGGCGAAGTCCTGCGGGAGTTCTCGGGGCTTGGGTGGAGGGGGAGGCGGCGCTGGGGGTGGGTCATTATCCGACTGGAACAGAACAAAGAAACGTGTAAATTCATATTGTCAAGTAAAAGTCTGGCCAGTGAAGTTGTTGAGACTCTACCCCACAGGGGTATTGACATTTGCTCTGGAACCACAGGACTGAGGCAAATGGTGGGCTGCCATCAAGCCAAAGCACGTCTAACCCTTGGAACAAAGAGAGAGTGAGTGTTCAGTTCCCAGGCTTAAATTTATAAGGTCTTGTGTACCAGAATCAATTGAGTAACACAGTATAATATTATCCTCAGTGTTATACGATATAGCATAGCCAAAGGTTTTATGTCTGTGACATTGGTACCTACTACCATATACTCTTTACTTTATACTCAATTCCTCAAAAGCACACTCCTACGAATGCTGTTCATGTACAACTTAAATACATCATTCTTTACAGTGAGGCACTACTGGTACTTAGTAGTCTAGTACATTCCAACACTGATAGTGTTAGTATCTGATGTATGCACACACGTACTGGTAACTGATGGTATCACCCCGAGGCATACATTGTACCTTGTCCTCAGCTGAACCCCAAAGACGGATGATGCACTTAGTAAAAACACCCCCCTGGAGCTGGGCTATATTGTTCCTGTGCCAGAGAAGTCCTTTGGTGTTGTCAAGACAGTAATGACATTTCTTTTTCCCTGACTTTCTAATCATACTGCACCTCCAATCAGCCCAGGGGGCCAAAATACAATTTTTCTGTCATTACCGAGGTGTGCGTTTTGTATGTGTTGGCTTTGAGGTGAGCTGTAGCACAGCAGAGAAGTAATTTACAGGCAGTTTCCCAGAGCTTAATGGTTCAGGGTGAATGGGATTTACTGCGACTCAACTCAGTAAAAATCACCCCCGACGGAGGTAACACAATTTGTGAAACTTTCGCGCTCGCTGTGAGAGCGTATTATACTATTTTGAGAGCATGAACTTTGCGGCTACAAAAATATCCCACTGTTCAATACCATTTACAAAGCAAGGGTCACACTGGCAAGGTGATGGAATATTGAATTATGTTTCTCCAATAAAAGCTGTTGAAAGGTTTGTACCTGTTGACTTAACAGCTCAAAGTAGTCTATATAGCTTTTGTTTGGTATGGAAAATAAAGTTATAACTGTAAATGCAAGTTCCCTACTTCAGGGTCAAACAGAACGGAAATTTCATAAAGCTGAAACATTGTTCCTCCCCTTAAAAAAACTCAATTTAGGAACCCAGAACCATTTTCTGGATCATCAAATTATACTGGTCCACGCAATCAAAACTACTTTTTTCCAGCTTGTAAGAAATATAGAAGTATACCCCTGGTAGATGTTGGAGGTTTGCTGTACCATATTGTTTTTTTTTAAACATGGCAAATCGTGCACCTGTGTGCCTAGATACAATCAATAATCTATCGACCTCCTTCTATGTAATGGCAGTGCTTAGTACCAAACAAGATAATGCTGTGGTCAGTCTATCAAACACAGTGTGTCCTATCTATCTAAAGCCTGTATATATTGCAGGGCTGGAAATACCAGCTGCGTATGCAGGTTAGTACAGGTAAAATTGGAGCTGTGCAGGTATTTCTGACACTATTACCTGCAGCTGTGCCTAACCTGCACTGGTCCATGTACTGCCCCGTTAATATACAATGTAGGTATGGATAAATACTATAGATAGTTTTTACTATGATCCATATACTTCCTAAATTCTGAGTGGTGCAGGCAAAATTTGTCTGGTGCTCGTAATTTTCAATGTTGCCTGCACCAGTGCAGGTGTGCAGCAAAAACTATTTTCAAATTGATTTTTAAAAGACAACGATTCCACTAAGTTTGAAATTTATATGTACAACAAGACAACACAGGATTTAGTTTCACCTACATATCTGAAGACAGAAGAGTGCCTTACCACATATGTTAGGAAATTAAGTAAATGAGGTTAATGTGCGGTAATGGAAAGACATGGCAACAGTCTGTAATCAAAAACCGATAATGTGGCCATCAACATGTCATCACTAATGGCAACACGGCTGCGGAAAGAAAACACTAAGGCAGATTACCAGTTAAACTAATGCATGGTAAAGATTTCATTACACCAGAGTCTCAACAGATTAACCATTTATGTAAATCAGAGCTCTCTATATTTTGTTGCTAAGCCTTTATGTCTAGTTAAGAAAAATTGAAAAAGCAACCTCAGCATCAGTTACTGTAGTTACAAGCACGTCTAATGGGGACCAACAGACATTAAACCAGATTGTCAGTGAATCAGTGTACATGTACTTGTAAGATGAGTACCGGTACTATATGCTCATACATTGTATATTGAAATTCCTCTCTAAAAAAATATTAAAACTCTATCCTTCAAAGGAGTTCTTAACATAGATATTTTACCTGAAATGTCCGACTGCTGCTGTGGACATGCTCTAAACAGTCAGCCCGAGAAGAAAACAACCCTGCATGAAATGACTCAGTCTAGGTATTACTGGAAGGGTGTGCTGTATAATGGCATTCCTGAGCAGGTACTGAATCGATAAACCTCCACTACTGCAACATACATGGAGCGTTCCTCCAGGGACCCTCATTACCCACACCGCATCATTTCCCAACAATCCTGGCCGGCGATGGAATATTCAAATTAAAGCGCAAAACGTGAATATACAAATTATTGTGCTGATCGTAATACTTAATATGCTTTCAATTTTAACTTGACATGACTGTGTAGAAATTGTATTTTATTGTTGGCAGTCTAATTCTGTAATGTCACTTCATCAATTCAGCCTTTCGGCTGCGACAGTTGAATGTCACAGTGATATACTTGATGTTATAATAAACCATTTACTAAAATAAACTTCTATATTCAGTCAACACGTCACTCTTGTGCAACTCCCTTGTATACATGTACATTTTGTAGTACATCACTCCTGAGATGTACATGTAGGTTCTATAGATTGCTAATTCTTTCAGATTGATTTAGGTTTAGAAGCGGGTGTGTTAATGGCATGCTCACCCCCATCTGCCGATCACAGCGAGAATCAATAATCGACCTTTGGCTCGCAGAGCGTCGCTTTTCTACCGCCGGGAACGGACAAGGTAATCAGGAAGGAAAACAGCGATAATAACGTCTGTGGCTCCCAGGGTTTGTAGTTAGTCTTGAGATATTTCTTGTATCTTCAAAGGGATTTCTTTCTTTGGCTACATACAGGGCTCGAAATCCTTTTTTCTCTCAACAGATGGTAAAACAGATAGAGAAAGAGAGAGAGAGATATAGAGATGCGCATACAGTTATACCTGCACTGGTGTAATTAAGTGTACCAAACAAATTTTACCTGCACCACTCTGAATTTAGGAAGTATGGATTTCACTAAAGACACTTCTTGAAATCCTTTTTTTCTCTGCATACCTATACCAGTGCAGGTAATACTTAAATTATCTGTACCAAACAAATTTTACCTGTACCACTCAGAATTAAGGAAGTATGGTTCACACTAAAATCTTATTTTAAGTTTCTGTATGTTGCATCCTGATGCAGCAAAATATTGAACTTGAAGACTACAGGATTCCCTACCTAACCATGGGCCTATGATCAATCATTACTGGTCTTCGCAGTTAAAATCAACCATGGCACTTGAATGGTGAAATTACCATAAGATATTGAAAACCACTCCAAAGTCAGACAGAGCGTCTCCTCGGCAATTTTAAGATGCTTGATCCAAGACAAGATGTCTTCGGAAGAATGCTAATGATCGGTAGAATGAGATATTTACTTTGAAGTCATGAAATCTAAATTGAGATTTGATAGATATACAAATACTAGAATATTTAGAATATTTTAGCATACCTGGTGATGCTAGGATAAACTTTTGAATTTCCGGGGAAACTTTTGTAACTTTATGATGCCATTTATATTTACAAAAAGAGCATCACTCCTACCCACATATCAACAAAAGAAAATGGATAAACTCCCCTGGACTACTCCCCAAACAGTATGCTAATATTCACACAAAACAATTGGATTGATTTAGCTCAGTATGCTATACCCACCTACCCATTCACCTAGTGGTAACTGCCCAATTACACCCCCATGGAACACAATGGGCTGTCCCAAGGGGATGGACAGGTAATTAGAAAAAACAACTTGTTTGTGTGAAAATGACTCAGTGTCTGATAATGACACACAGGCCATAATAGTGCATTCTTCTATTGAATGATTCAAACAATAAACCATAAAATCCTTCTCACACATTTCAGTATATAGGGCAATGCCTATCTGTTTCTATAGCCCTTGGGCCACACAGTTGTGCAAACACTATAGCAGTATAGCCCACATACATGTATATGTCACTATTAATAAATGGAATGTTCTATATATCTACCAGAGAATTCCACAATTTGGTCTTTCCAAAACATGTCACTATGATTTACAGTTCTACACCCCTCTGGGAGCAGCCTAATACTGCAGCAGGTTTGTGCAGATAATTGGTTTCCTTGTCCCAGTTGCACCTACAGGTAAGTGATGTCATCACATGGTTGAAGAGATTGTCAATATTATAGAATACTGTGGGCTGGATTGCCCAGCGGCCAAAATGTATGTCACTTATCATTTTATGTCATAGCAGCCCGAAAAAAAAAACATTTCAATGAGACATGTGCTTGAAGTTGAGAAAATTTGGTGTAACTAAACAATCTACCTCTTACTTAGTGGACAGATTTGTTTTGGATGTATCATGATAATGATGATGATGAAACTGTTACATCAATTTCAAGGTCCAAATTAAGTACGACCATATTTCAATTTTCGAAAGGGGTGCTCGCAAATTGGAACTTTTGGAAACTCACAATCACATGACAACAGCCTACAATGTATGTGATAACTCATGATCTTTACACAACCTGAATTAAAATCACCAGATGTACAGATGTATGTACCATATTCACCTTTTCATAGCACAGTTACTAATTCATGAATCAAATTTGTTTTGGCCTACTTTCCTTTACAATAACAGAACCAAGTCAGCAGGG